CCCGGTGGGGGCCGGGGGCCCGGGGGGCACCTCAGGGGGCACGTGGACAGCCGGGGGGTTTCGGGGAGGGTTCTCGAAGGAAGGCGTGACCGGGGGAGGGCCCGGACACGCCGAGGCCGATATAAGCGGCCTCATCTCGATGTTCGGGGCTGTTCGTGTCAAGAATGGAAGAGGCATCGTGAAGGCATCTCGAGAGAATAGTCAAACCTCCAGTCAGCTGACCAGCCAGTAGCCCTGCTGTCTGAGTCACACTAATGTATCCGAGAGTCCGTATATCGAGAGTGCTGGTGTGTGTTAGTTAGAATATGCCGGTGGTTACCACCCTATGTAATATAACGTTGTGTTAACAAATAAATAGTGTTGCCTCCCAAGAAGTGTGTGCGCCTAATGGAGCCCGTTACAAACGTAACTACAGTACTTATTCACCTGTTAAAGCCCACTGAGCTATTAGCACGTTTGCAGAGGCGACCTGTCCACACGTCACAAGTGGGCATACATTTATGCAGTGCTTAATTGTAACTTTCCGACTCAGGACATCTATGAAAAGGAGCTTTATAGCTCATCGGATTCCTCCAGTATAAATAAACACTGATTCTGCTGGATCTGTCCAGGTCGGTCACCCAAAAAGTGTTCCCGTAACCGGCACACACCACATCTTGGTATGACCGTGGCGACTCGTCACGTGCCAACCCCCGGTCCACCAGCGCCCGGGAGAATATTCGGTGCGACATTGCCCCTGTCCACGTGTCGGGACACAGGCGAAAGTGCCGAGCGTTCAACTGCGCGCAAGTTCCTCTGGCCCCAGTTCCCGAGCCTGTACACCTGGGAGCTACACCGGTAGAGCAGCAGCATCGTGCACTGGCGTCCCATAACTTCTGTGCAAGCCCCGTCACGTGGCAACAGCCACCACGAGGATCAAGTTTGCGATAAACGTCCTGGAATCGCGCGCCATGGGCAACCGAATTCCGAGCAGCTGCCGTTCCCAGCCAAGCAAAAGGAGCCTCTTTGCTGTGCGCTGCCCACAGCGCTCTCTCCCGAAGCCTTTGAGTAAACATCTCGTGGCGACGACAGCGGTTTTGGCTGCAGCCGCAGGCGAGTCAGGCGGGGAGTGAGTGACCCGTTTCATAATCGTGTGCGAGTTTAACACAAAAAAATCCAATCAGTTCAGCAACGCCCGGCTCGAAGACTTTTAATCCTGGCTGCACGCGCCTCTCCGCACTTCGACACGCGCACGCATCTGCGTCTTCAAGGGCAGGATCGCATGCCGGGCCACCACCGATTCCATTTCAGCCGGGGTCCGGTTTGGTCACCCGGGAAATATTTACACACCTGGCACACCGCATCCACGTTCATCCTCTCCGTGGCTTTGGACGACGATTTTCGCGTGCCACATATCCCACCCTTAAACCAACGACGACCCGAAACAAATATTCAGTGCAAAATTAAAGCCCTGGGCCGTGTGCGCCGCTGTTGTCACCGCGCGGCGAGCTTTCTCAAAACCCAATCATTCGCTTGCGGGGCTGCACTGGCACTGAGTAGCAATAACATGGATACAAACAAAAACATCGTCATGCTCATCACAAACAATGCCGAGACCGTAACAGCCAAACACACGACAGTCTGGAGATTTTCTGACAATGGCACATCTGCAGAATAAGTCGTAATCATGGCTGCACATTGCACTAGACGCGTTAGCTTCGGGGTGTGACGATGCATCCACTCATGGCTGAAAATTGATTGTTGCTCTCACGCCGAATGCGTCGCGTCGCGTCACGCGCGCGAGCATCGACGTTGTTCGGTTCGTATGCGATGAACGCATCCGTTGTTCCGCACGTGACCCCTGTGCAGCCACTGGCGGCCGCTACCATTCACGGCGATGTTTAAACGTGCCGTGCAATCGAGTGACGAGCCTCAATAGAAACCATTCATCGGGTCGCGGGACGCGGGAGAGGCGGCGAGTGAACTATTCAACCACCACTGCGGCGCCTTAAAACCGACGTAGTTGAACACCTGGAGAGTTTTACAGCTTATTTTAAACAACAGATTCTGCATACTAAAGTCTGTGACAGGCGACGTTTTAGGCAATGACGCTTCGTAGCACAGAGGCCAGTGGCTTCTCTATCTGGGCCACTGCGCAAAACGTCGGCCTATTGCACACTTTTCCTTTAAGGCCGCAGTGTTAGCGACGGATGTGTCGAGTGTTTTTTTGTAATTGTGCTTTGTGCACCGCTGCCAACGCAGTGTCACCACATCAACAGTCAAGATTTACCCAAGCCTCGCGTTCGTGAGGTCAGGGTCCCCAGGGTGGGACGATGGGGCGGACCGGGCAAAGGTGGAACTGACGGGCCCTCCCCCGGCCGTGTGCTCGGCCAGACCGAGGTCCAGTCGGAACAGCAGCGGCCGCTCAGATGCACCCGAACTTGAACTCCGTGAAACCGACACCTCCACTTTCCTCTCCCTCCCACGCGTCCATCCTGCAGCGTGCGTGCGCACGTACCTCCATCGACGACCCGCAGTCTCAGAGCGAGCGAGAAAAACGCGCTCGGCCGGGAGGGACAGCGGGACGACTCCGTCGATGCATCGTCGCGGCTTGCAACGAGGCGCGGTTGCGTTCCATAACAGATCGATTCGGCAAAAGGCTAACGTCGTCATCGATGCTTTTCGACTTCCAAGATGTGAAAACTGGAGCTGCCCATTCTGCGAGCGCTTGCTCTTGTTTGGGTGGGCCTGGGCCCCCACCCCCCACGCAGCGCTTCCATCGCGAACCCAGCCAATACGTTAAGCGGCGCTGCAAAAATGGAAAACAGCTTTTATGGAAAAATGAATTGTACATATAAAAAAAAGCCGCTGTGCCGTTATGATTAAGATTTGGACTTTAACTCCGAGACAGCACTTCACGTGCCAAAATAAACAATTGAGAAACGCATGCTTCCCCAAAATAGCAAGCACGAGGATGCAACGACGTGAGTTTTGAACAACCACAAAGATGTGAACACCACCAACAATTGCGGAAATACAACGCGCCCCACAGCTCCGCTGGCGAAGCCGATGAAAATGCGGCCGCACTCCGAAAACGCACGGCCGTTTCCATCGGCCGAAAATCACGCGCAAAGGGACTTTCGCCGCGACTGGGCCGTTTATTCTCGGGGTTTTTTCGGTACTGCAGTGCAGCACAACAGCCGCACGAGTCAGAGGGGCTGCGATCCTCGCGTCCTCGGCCTAGAGAGGCCACAACAGGTCGCTGTCCGCACGGCGCCCCGATGAGCATCCACCGCCGAGCCCAGCCGCACCGCGGGGCTCGGCCAAACGGAGCCTCCGCCGCTCGCCCGCCTGCCCGCCCAGCCGGCTCCGTGCTCGAGACCGGGGAAGTGCGCAACGCTGCGGAAATCCGCGCCTCGCTCGAATTTGCCTCCCGCTCGCTGCCGCAGCCAGGGGCAGCGTGGAGCCAGTGGCGGTACGTGGCTGGAGTTGGCCCAGGTGTACGGAAATAAACGAGGCCCGAGTCCAATTTCACCCTCCCCCCCGCCCCAGATGTATTGCACTCAAAAGCCGCGCCACTGCAGAAAATCATGGATTCACATAGAAACCCAGAGACTCACATTGAGACCCATAGACTCACATAGAGACCCATAGACTCACATATAAACCCACATAGAGACTCACATAGAGACCCATAGACTCACATAGAAACCCATGGATTCACATAGAGACCCATAGACTCACATAGAAACCCAGACTCACATTGAGACCCATAGCCTCACATAGAAACCCATGGATTCACATAGAGACCCATGGATTCACATAGAGACCCATAGACGCACATATAGACTCATAGACCCACATCGAGACTGAGTGGTGTAAAATGGTTGGAATTGGCTCTGGTGCACGAAATTAAATTAAATGGGGCCCTCTGTACAATTTCCCCCTCCTACTTTTAGCCTCGCGGCTGGGGCAGTCGCACCGCCTGTGCACTCGATAGTTACACCACTGCACTCGATAGTTACACCACTGCACTGACAGTGCTGTGGGGTGGGTGACCCAGTCTGCGGAGAGTCCCAATTGACGCCTACAGACCAATCCAACCTCGCTCTGCTCGCATACAGACCGCTGCGTTTGATAATCTGAGCAGCAGTGATGTCCAGCAACGGTGCGTCTCGTCATCAATAAATTACGGCTCAAGACGCGTGCATTATCACATCGCCTTTGTCACGAAACTGCACGAAGGAGACGGAAACTTGAGCGACGGTACAAACGACGAGGTTTGAAAAACAGGACCCTCCCTTCCTCCCTCTGCCCGTGACTGCTTCCCTCGACAAAACAAAACGCGGATCCTAAATGCAAATGTACCCTCAATTACTTGACCTTGGTCGCCCTTGTCATGCGTCTCAACTAGCAGATCGCTCGCCCACTGCTTGCATAAAGGAAAACTACGACTGCTGTTCCTGCACGACGCGCGCGCGCTCTTGAGATGCGGTCGCACGTGAGTGCCGAGTCCATCCCCACTGGAATGCACCGCAAGAGTCGATCCTTCGAATGAAAACGCAGCCACGAAATTTCGACGGCCGAGCCATCGCGTGTCTTGAACGCGCACTGCACGGGCAGCCAATGGAGTCATAAAGCCGGCCGATAAGTTAAGCACGTGTTTCGGCCAGGGCGAGTATGAACGCCATCTCGATTAGGCAATCGTACACCTGACAATATAGGGTACCCACGCCCCCATCGGCGAAACTAGTGGCCATAATCTTATTACATTAAACGGCTTGTCAACCACACGAAGATTTTACTCCGCCCGTATGCCTCTCGAGATTCATCACACGCCCACATCCCAGCTTCACGTTTGGTCCAAGCGCAAGCTTTTACGGTGGATCGTTGAATGTTTACAGTGTCCCCGGACGCAACGAATATGCCAACACACGACCGGTACTCTAACACGCACACACGCGTGCCCATGCATGGGCACGCATGTGCCCATGCATGGGCACGCGTGTGTGCACACACGCACACACACTTGGAATAACCTCGCTCATCCAGGATTTTTGGACCTATAGGAAACCACTTCCCCCAACAGCAATAATAACAGCAATGGCTTCCGCAGAATTCCTACGCCGGCCGTGCGGCAAACGTGAATCGGCAAATCGGCGGCGAGAGGTGATGGAGGGGGCGGGGGGGGGGCGGCACCATGGCGACCGTCACTCTTGGCACGCGCACCCTCTTGCCTCACACGCTGCTCGCTCGCCGCGTATTGCACAACTCGGGGGTCCGCACGGCCGCGCTGTTCCCAGTTTCCCGCGGGTTTGCTCCGCGAGCCGCCGCTCGCGGACATTTGATCCCGGCTTCCAGTCTCCGCTAACGACGACTCTGACGACGGCGTTGTCGCGGCGAGAACCGAAACGAAACCCTGCCGCCGGTCGCGGGACATTTTGATCCGAGGCGGTTCCGACCGAGCTGTACAAAGCAGTCCACCGGTTCCAAATTAAAATATCTCTCGTGTGGAATTCCCCGTCGCGCACGCAGGGCCTGCATCGGGGCAGCCTGCGCGTAAGCAAAGTGCTTTTCCGTGAGTCCTGCTGTGTTTGTGACGTTCTTTCTCCCGGGCACAAGGGGTGACCGGGTCCGGCTGAGAGCCGCGTTCTCGGCAAGCGCCTCACGGAGCCTTGCTGGGGCCCCAGGGAGTCTCGCTCGTCCCCCGGGGGCTGTGTGTGGGGTGAGGTGTGGAATGTGAGGTGTGGCGTGCAGTGTGAGGTGTGTTGTGTAGTGTATCAGGGTGTAAGGTGTACGGTTGGTGTGGTTGTGGTGGTGTGCAGCTGTCGGCGTTTAAGATTGGAGTGCAGGTCTGATGGAGTTTGAGAGTGGCAAATGTTGCGATGCAGGGAGTGAAGCTGAAAATGTGGATTGTGGGGACGGTGGCATGTCGGTTAAGGAGTGTCGGCGAGGATTGCCGGTCAGGAGTGCCGTGGGCCCTCTGGCGCGGCCTGCGCCGCGGCCACGCGGCCCGCTGCGGTGGCGGCCGCTGCCCGTCACGCTGCCACCCTGCGGTCTGCCGTGGGGGGCAGGCACCGGGCGAGGGACAGGCGCCACAGCGCGGGCGCCAGCAGCAGACTCAGCGTCGTCACGCTCAAGATGAGCAGGTAGACCTGGGGGGGGGGGGGCACGCGGAGGGGGCCGGGGGGGGCAGCGGCTCGCGTGAGCGCACGACCTCGTCACGTGATGCGGGGTGCTCCGTCATCGCAGGGAGATAGCGCGGAGGAAACTACATTTTCATTCAACGCCTCGACACGTCTCCCACCGATCTCAGTGTGCGCTCCGCATCTGTTTGCACTCTCCCGTGAGATATGCAGCCGTCAGGATATTGAGACGTGCATGCGTGTGCTGCGTTTACCGCGCTCCCTGTGTGTACACCGTGTTCCCCGTGCGTTCCCCGCGTCCTGCCAGCGTGCCGTGGTGTGCGCGTATGCACGTGTGCGTATATGCGGGTGCACACGTGGGGCGCGTGTGCGCGCGCGTGCGGCCCTGTGTGCCGAGCCGGCGCCTCACCTCGCGGGACACGATGCCGGCGCGGCGAGCACGGCTCCCCAGCACGAAGCTGAACTCGCTGACCTGGGCCAGGCCCGACGCCACCACCCAGCAGAGGTAGCGGCTGCCCCGCGGCAGCACCACCCACAGCACCGCCGACGCAAAGGCGAACTGCGGGAAACGCACGGGGGACAAGGAACGCGGAACACGGAACACGCACGCACGTGCGGGTAACTTGACGACACTTCGCCACTCGGATCAGTGCGAGTCGGTGAAGGCGTGGGAGCAGAGACGCGGTTCTGATGCGCTGCCCGCTGCTGCGAGCAGCGCCCTTCACGCACGTTGGTGGCCCGTCCAAGCAGCGGCCACGCTCGACCCAGCTATGAGGTCTCGACGAGGTCGGGTACCCTCCGGGTATTCTCGGTCACGGGGGGGGGGGGGGGGGGCAAAGCACGTCAAATCTCCCGCAGGTGTATTCCCCTTGCGCTCTCACGGGCAAGCGTCGTGCCGGGCGCCGTTTACCTTTACAAAGACGACGAAGAGGGTGAGGAAGAGCAGCGTGGAGAACTCGTAGAGCACGAACGTGGGGAACACGTGTAGCCCTGGGGGAGCGCGGGTGGGGGGGGGGGTTCGAGGGTCAGGGGTCAGAGGGCACGAGGCACGCGCTCACCACGGCATGGACGGCCGCACGTGCGGTTAGCTTCGTGAGACTAAACCACCACTCGACCCGTCCTCCGACGGGTCGAGTGGTGGTGCGAATGTCGTTGGGAAAAAGTCTTCGCTTGCTCCCAAGTGCGCCGCGGGACTACAGGTGACGGGTGGGGCCGCTTCATGCCGGGCGTGGCTCACAGGGGGTTTCCTGCCTTCGGGAGGCAGGATGTAGGAGGTGGCTGAGAGTTTTAAAGGGGGGAGGGGGGGTGGGCTGCATAATCGACCACAGCAGAAGTAGTCGATTCCAATTACTGGTCGAGTAATCCGACGTCAACCGACTGCCATCAACTCTCTCACCTATTGAGGCGAAGAAGAGGATGGCGAGGAAGTCGCGGATCGGCTCCAGGCAGCTGCTCACCTCCTCGGTAACGACGTGGCCCAGCGAGGAGACGAGGACGCCCGACAGGAAGCAGCCCAGCTCCATGGACACTTCCAGCGCCTCCGTCACCTGCAGGGAAAGGAGGGGGCGGAGGGGGCGGAGGGGGCGGCGGCGACGCCATCGCGGTGAGGGCCGTCGTCGTTCCCGCGACCTCGTTTAACGCGTCGCTCGCCCCGACGGCGCGCCGAGGCCGTGCGGGCCGAGCTTTGGCCGCGTGCGCGTGCCCCACCCGCAGCATGGCGAAGATGAACGCGGAGAGGCCGAGCGTGAGCAGCTCGGGGCTGCCGGCGCGCGCGCTGGCGCTGTGCAGGCGGCGGTAGAAGGGGCCGATGACGCGCGACCGCAGCAGCACGCAGAGCAGCAGCACGCCGGCCATGGACGCGAGCACGCGGCCCACCAGCCCCGACACGCGCACCCACTCCCACAGCGCGCTGCCGGGGCACACGCACACACGCACACACGCACACACGCACACAGACACAAGCGCACGAAGACCCCCCCCACATATAGCCTTAGCAGACTGTAGGAGCAAGTGCTGTTAGCGAGCACCTATTACGGGCCGACATGGCACACGAGAGGGAGGGTGGCCAGCACCACGCTCGGCCGCCTTTGTCTCCCCAGTGGCCATGCTTACACATCGCACTAGGTACTCATTTGAGGCCGAGTCGACCTAGGGGACCGATTCAGATAATCATCAGTGCTGTTGGCCGTGAGCGGGAATCAAACTTGGGACGCCGGCTTCATAGCGCGGCGCGCTACCGCTTCCCGCGCTACCGCTCCCCGCGCATGGACGCACGCGCACACACGCACACACGCACGCACGCACACGCGCACACACACACACACGCACGCACACAGCCGCACTGGGAATTCTCTCAGTGCCACCGCGCGTCGAGAGGACGGCGTGAAGACTTGCCGGCGGTCGCCATGTGTCACCGCCCTCCCAAGCTCGACGGCTGGCTCACGACCGCAAGAACGGTCGTGGCAAACGAGTCGTTGGCCGAGCGGTGGCAGAGGCCTGGGGCTCGTGGGCCACAGGTTCCGCACGCCTGCCCCGCGCGATCGCTCGGCGCGCTCCGGCAAGCCGGGCTACGGCACTCAATTGGGCGCAGGCAGGGAGGGGAGATGGAGTCAGAAGGATGAAGTCCGTTGTCTATGAATGCAGTTGCCTACATTTCTGATCTCAACCCGTTCCATTGCTGTGACTTTATTCCATTGGTTTTGCTTTCGTCATTTTGGTGACCCGGGGTCAGGGTACCTGGCGGGGTGTGCCGTGCCGGCCTGCGCGAGCGTGGGCATGAGTGCGATGATGACGCTCAGCTGCATGTCCTGCACCACCAGGATGCCCAGCAGCATGCTGCTGTAGTCCCCGTCTCCTGGCGACAGCGGGGAGGGCGGCGGAGGGGTAGAATCAGCCGAACGTCCACGGGAAATATCCTCCCCCCCCCTCGGCGCGGCTTGGGAACACACGACCCATGGGTGGGATCCGGTCCCACGACTTCATTCCATACGATCTGCCGCGGCACAATATCGCTCTTCTGCCACTGGGCTCCACCAATCGGGGACTCGGGAGGGGGAATTTTCAAACCTGGCAAATATTGAGTTTATAATTTTAGCTCCTGTTACCGCAAGGGCCTCTTGCAGCGACGGACGTGGCTGAAGTGTGTTAATGTGTGATCACCGGACCAAAGGTATATAGGAAAGTCCTATTTGACCCCTTCACCCCATGACCATCGGTGGATCGACCCCGAGTAAGGAAGAGGTTTCTCACCCCTGCGCTCACGTAAGGGGGCTTTACACGTCGCTGTTCTCAGCACGCACGGTGGGGGTCACGGAGGCTTAAGAGGTCACGGAAGGCTGGAGGCCGCGCGGGCCTCGGGACCATGCGGGCCTAGGAGCCGTCGAGCCGTCGGGGCCGGAGGCCGAGGGTGCGCGGAACCCACCCTCCTTGTCGGGCCGCGCGCCGGCCGCCTGCAGGAACTTGGAGATGAGCGGCGTGCTGGAGAGCGAGAGGCACGCGGAGATGAAGAGGCTCTGGTTGGGTGGGATGTGCAGCACGTGGCCCCACAGCAGCCCCGTGCCCAGCATCAGCACCATCATGGCCAGCGGGGTCTGCAGAGCGACGCGCCACACCTGCACGCACGCACGCACCACGCACACACCAAGCACGCACCCAAGCACGCACCACGCACGCACCAAGCACACACCACACGCACCACACACGCACCAAGCACACACCAAGCACACACGCATCACACACACACCACGCACGCATCACACACACACCACGCACGCATCACACACACACCACGCACACACCAAGAACGCACCCAAGCACGCACCACGCACGCACCACACGCACCAAGCACGCACCAAGCACACACCAAGCACACACGCATCACACACACACCACGCACGCATCACACACACACCACGCACGCATCACACACACACCACGCACGCATCACACACACACCACGCACGCACCACACACACACCACGCACACACCACACACACACCACGCACGCACCACGCTCGCACCACGCACGCACCACACACGCAAGCACCACGCACCAGACACGCAACAAGCACGCATCTCACGCAAGCACCACGCACCAAGCACCATGCATGCATCACACACGCACCACACATGCACGCACCACCCACACACGCAGTAGTGGGGAGCGGTAGTGCAAGTGTTAGCGCGCTGCACTGCAAACCCGGCAACCAAAGTTCAATTCCCGTTCAGTCCCAACACCGGTGATGATTAATTGAATCGGTCCTGGGCCTCTCCCTAGATCGAATCAGCCTCAAATGAGTACCTAGCACAGCACCCCCTCGTGTGCCGTGCCGGCCTTCATAGGTGCTCACAAATAGCACTTGTCCCAATAGTCTGTTAAAGGCTATACGGGGGATCTTTGTGTGTGCGTGATTAGGTGTGTGTGTGTGTAGTTTGGTGCATGTGTGTATATGTTCTGTCCACGTTTGTGGTTTCCCTGTGAGCGTCATGCACTATCCCGTGTGTGCGTGCGTGCGTATGTGCGTGTGTGCGTGTATGTGTGCATGCGTGTATGTGTGCATGTATGTGTGCGTGTATGTGTGCATGCGTGTATGTGTGCATGCATGTGTGCGTGCGTGTATGTGTGCGTGTGTGTATGTATGTATGTGTGTATGTGTATGTGTGGGGAGCGATAGTGTAGCGGTTAGCGCGCTGCGCTATGAACTTGGCGACCCGAGTTCGATTCCCGCTCACGGCCAACACCGGTGACGATTATCTGAACCGGTCCCGGGCCTCCCCTAGTTCGACTCAGCCTCAAATGAGTACCTGGTGCGGTGTGTAAACATTGCCACTAGGGAGACAAAGGCGGTCGGGCGTGGTGCTGGCCACCCACCCCCTCGTGTACCGTTTCGGCCTTCGTAGGTGCTCGCTAACAGCACTTGCCCCTACAGTCTGTTAAGGCTATACGGGGGATCTTTGTGTGTGTGTATGTGTGTGTATGTGTGTGTATGTGTGTGTATGTGTGTGTATGTATGTGTGTGTATGCGTGTGCATGTGTGTGTGTGTGCATGTGTGTATGTGTGTGTATGTATGTGTGTATGCATGTGTGTATGTGTGCATGTGTGTGTGCATGTGTGTGTGCATGTGTGTATGTGTGTGTGTATGTGTGTGTATGTGTGTGTATGTGTGTGTACGTGAGTGGCCATGGCCTCCACCTTGCGCAGCCGGTCCGGGTAAAACTCGAGCCCCACGAAGAAGAGTGTGAAGAAGACGCCAAACTCCCCCAGCGTCTCCACCTGCACGATGGCCTGCACACCGCATCACACCGCATCACACCGCGTCACGCCGCGTCACGCCGCGTCACGCCGCGTCACGCCGCGTCACGCCGCGTCACACCGCGTCACACCGCGTCACACCGCGTCACGCGGCTCAGGGCGCCCGCACGGCCCGACTCGCCAACGCGGCACGACCCCCTCCCCCACGGTGTCATCCATCGGGGTCGTTCGACCGTACTCCACCGTGCCAGTCGGTGTGGGTCGGTGGAGGCGGCACGTTTTGTTGCTGCTGAGAGGCAGCCAACGGGGAGAACGCGCCCGGGAGGACATCCCCCGCGGAGATGGAGCAATGGGATCGGTTCGTTTGTAGGAGCGAGGTGGATTGTGGCAGAACTGGGCCGTGAGGGATGGCGGTGGCATCGGGAGGTCTTCATCCAGCAGCGGATTGACAACGGCTGATCATGATGATGATGAAGAGTTGGCGGTCCAAAACAAGGCTGAGGTGTAGTGCACACGCGGTGTGGGGATGTCACGTGACACGCAAGGCACGATGGGGAGGACCGATCGAGAACTGCGCGTGCGCCACAGGACTCGGGGTGCAAGGGGAAGCGAGCCGACGATCGGAGCGTTCCATTAGCATGTGGGGGTGGGGGGGGTGGTGGCGGGAGGAGGCGGTAGGTGTGCGGGCTCGGGGCGGTTACCTTGATGGCGTTGAGGCCGGAGGGGCCGAGCAGCACGCCGCACACCACGTAGCCGAACATTGAGGGCAGCCCCATGAGCATGCACAGCCACCCGCAGGGCAGGGACAGCAGGACGATGGCAACGATGTCCTGGGACCACAAACAGAGAGACGTCCTGAGGTGAGAGAGGCAGGAACAGAGGAATCCGAACACCAGCCCAAAGACACAGCAGCGCCCTGGGGCCAGGCACACGAGGGAGTGGGTGGCCAGCACTACCTCCCTGGCCGCCTTTGTCTCCCCAGTGGTGATGTTAACACATCGGACCAGACACTCATTTGAGGCCGAGCTGACCTAGGGAGAGGCTCAGGACCGATTCAGATAATCGTCATCGGCTTTCGCCGCGAGCGATTGTCGAAGTGCAGCGCGTTAACCATTGCTCTCTCCGCACCTCCGATAAGCATGGTTGGCTACGTGCGGTCCGTGCGTCCAGACGTACGTGCATACGTCCACGCAGAGGCAGCAGGAAAGATACCCCGAGATCGGGCTGCTCCACGCCCGCGTCGTGTACACACAATCGTCGTCGTCATTTTTTTCATCCCCGGCACGAGGGCCCCGCGTCTCACCGTGATGAGGTGGTGGTCGGAGCGCGGGATGGTGGAGTCGCGGGGCTTGGTGAGCACGTACTGGTTGTTGAGCGAGTCGATGAGCATGCTCAGGCCCAGGTCCTCACCGCCGGCCTCGCGCCGCGACATGTTCCCCACGCCGTCCTCGTCCGGCTCCTCCAGCCGCCACACCGCCTCCACGTTGGCGCCTTTCCCCTGGCGCGGCGAGTGGGAGGTCAGCGCCGTCGACCGCGCCGGCGGTTTTTTTTCCCGTGGCGGCGCTCTCTGCGTCCCTCCCGACGCCGCGCCGTGTCCGGCACGACGTCTAACTTTAGCTGAGCGCGCGGGCGCCCGGAGCCTCCGGGAGGTTTGGGGCCGCGTGACCGCGGTCGCACCGCGGGCCGCTCTGAACCCTTTCCCGTTGCGATGGCGGACGTGTACGATGGCGGACGTGCAAGTCATCGTTTTTTTCCTTCATAATAAAGGTTTTTGGGTTAGATCGCGTTATTTATAAATGTGTTGTAACCCTCCACCACCCAAACACGGCCGATCAGCAAAAAAAGTGTCACGTTGACAAAAGACAAATAGTTCACTACTTTAGCACCACCAGTGTGTTGAAGAGTGAATCCACAACATTTACAGTTTGAGTACGACGTTTCGCTGGTAATTACATCCATGAATAATATTGGTCGCGAAAGCCTACGTGTTTTTTTCCTTCCGATTCGTTCCGATAACGTACGTTTACGTCATCGGAATGGAGTCGATTATGGATGGAATCGATTATGGATGGAATCGAATCGAAGTGGCCTAGCTTGGCGCCAGCTACTATCATAGAGTGTCGCTGCAGCCGAATGTCTTAAGATCAACGCCGAACCCCTTGCGCGTTCCGAGATTCAGCGATGAGTGGGACACCACCCGCCCTGCAAATTGCGGACGTCGCCGGTGACGGGAAAGAGTTCCATGCGTCCGCAGGAGGAGACGCCGTGGCTCGCGGGATAAATCTAAACGGCCGAGCACCGCGGGGAGGGTGGCGCGGCCGGGGAGGCTCACCATCTCCTGGTTGTCGAAGACGTGCTCCTCGATGCGCTCCTCCAGGCGGTTGGCGGCGCGCCGCACGTCCTCCAGCACGCCGTCCAGCATGGAGAGGCTGCGGTTGCGCAGCGCTCGCACTTTCAGGGCCTCCGCCTCGCGCCGCTCCGCCGCCACCAGCTCCACGTACTCCTGCTCCTCCTGGCGCGTGGAGCGGGGGGGGCACACGAGGCATTCTCATCGGCAACGCGCCGCCCGTCGGCAACACAACGTACAAGCTCTCGGCCTTGTCTAGACCACCAACAGAGCTGTACGTGGCTGCCGTATAAAACTCTCTACGCCACCGACACGTCACAATTGTTCTTTAACTCGCACCTTGACCGTGCGATGAATACAAGAGCGTGCGAGCGGACCGTGACAACATACGACCCGAGCGCCACTCGCTCCCCCCTTGCGGGCACCTTGATGGCCGCCTGCCGCAGGGCCTCCAACCGCTGGCGACTGCTCTCCTTCATGTTGAGGAGGTCCCGGAAGTCGCCCTGCAGTGCGCGCTGCAGGCCCGCGATGGCCTGGAACACGGAACTCTCGCTGTCGTTGAGCTCCCTCTGGAAGATCTCCAGCGTGTGCACCTGGGGGCGAGAGGCGGGCAGCCGGGTCAGCTGACAATGCCACCACCACACCGCTACCTAATCCGGTTAGTAGCTGACTTTTGTGTTTGTCTCGTTGGTGTTTTTCTTATTTGTTTTGTCCCGTTTGTTGGCTCGGCAGTACAGGTGATAGGCGGAACATTTGCGATGCGACGGCGAACACCGCTCGCGCCCGGACTATTTTCCGTTCCCCAGATGTGCCGTCGTTCACCATATTCTGGGCGGAACCGGCGTTAAGCGTAAGAATGCATTTTCATTGACGACTCGATGCATTGTTCCGCACCTGCTGCCACCAGAAGGTACACGCAGCAACAGCAGCGACATATCCCCTCCGCACCGGCTGCCCCCTCTCCAGCTCCACGTACCTGGAAGAGCTTCTCCTCCGGCGAAATCCTGCCATCCTTCTCCACCACGCCGATCGCCGAGTTGAGCTTGCGGATCACCTGGGCTTTGTGCTTGAGCAGGGTGGCCAGCCGGCCGCACGCCCACTGTTTAATGCCGCCGCTGGCTCCGCCACCGCTACGGACAGCTCGTGCGGCCGCCTCACGCCCACGGTGCAGCTTGATGGCGTGCCGTGCCACCGAGCCGTGCTCCGCTCCGTGCGCCGGGAGCGCGGCCAGAGCAAGCGCCGCCAGCGCAAGCGCCGCCAGCAGCCGGGAGGGGCGGGGACCGTCGCCGTCCATCACGGTAGAGCGTGGGAGCGCGGCTCCGCGCTCCTCATGACCGTCCGGCGAGGGCCGCCCAGGTCGTCCCGTGCCGTCCGATGGCGGAGGCGTCCCATGCGTCGCCGCAAGACGATGGCGGCACGGCCTGGGGAGGAGAGTTGGCCCGGACCCACAGTTCGGGCCGCACGGAGGGAAGGGGAGAGGCGGGCGGGACAGCTTTTACTGCGGGGGTCTCAGAGGGAGCATCGTCTGGCATTTTGCCCCAAGCCTCCAACAATCTTCCGGCAGCCCCGGGCACAACGAATCAACATATACCAAACAGAAATAAACAACGGTTTTATTAACAACTTCGTTTAACTCGCGGTTGAGAAGTACGTCAGTGGCACCTGAGACACGTGGCACCTGAGACACGTGGCACCTGAGACACGTGGCACCTGAGACACGCGGCGCCTGCGTTCTGTGCGAGCCGAATCCACAGTTTAGGGACCGCGGCGTTTTTGACCTACACAAATACATTTTATAATTAATAAGGCGTCCATACAAAATGTAAATTGCTTTAAAGCAGCGAATTAATTGATACCGATTTTGATACAGGCATGCATTGTCACCGGATCTGAGTGTGCAAAATGTGGAATTGATTGGACAACGGGAAGTGGACAAAATTTTGATTACAAGATTTGACCACGACAAACAAAGGAATCAAGTTCAGTAAAACCGTTGAAAAAAGCGGGTGAACGAGCGACATTAATTATAAAACCCTGCGACGCGTACACTCTGAAACTGGGTAGGAATGAGGCGGACCTGGCCGCAGAGGAGGCCAACGTTGTCTGCTGCCAGGGAGCAGCATCACCGGACAGTAGAGGCGGAGATAATGTTCCTGAATGAGGGCCAAAGTGGACTATCAAATACCTTTGACGGGCCACACCTTGACGCACCCCTCGGTCACTCGCAGTGACAGAAGTGACTGGGTGTGCCAAAATTATAAACACGGTGTTTTCCAGTCATAAATATCCCTCTTGAGTAACCGATCAGAACGGTCAAGATGCTTGCCATAACAGATCCTATCATTTTGATTTAAAGCTTTCGTGACTGCAGTAATTCATATTCTTAGTTTTTTTCGGTAAAGTCACGTTGAAGAGAAACAACAAAATAATAAAATATATATAAAACAATAAAAAATTCTCACGACGTTTCGACCATAACTCAAACGGTCGTCTTCAGGTGTGTTGGTTCGCATCAATTTATTTTTAAACGGCGCATTTATTTATTTATAAAAAACGTTAGCGCCACGCGCAACGATTTGGCAGTTTACCCAGGACTAGTCCATCTATATTCTGAAAAGAGGAGGGGGGAGACGAAATTTTTTAAATGTATGCTGTCTGAAAGCCACTGTAAGCGTGAACAATCAATTAAGACCTGAAATGGTTTATCAAATCTTTCCAATGATTGCTAAGATAGAATCCATCTTCTCGGTTGAAATTGTCTCTGTGCTTGTATATGTGGATAGCCTCATGAACGAATCTCTCATGGAAGCCAGATGGCTTACAAAGAACCTCTGTCTTAGAAAAGTCAATGGCATGTGAGCCTACTGAATTAGAACAATGATCTGCCACGGCCGAGGTGTTGGTCCTACCGTGTTTAAGGTCTGCTTTGTGTTCACGAATGCGGTCCGAGACATGGCGTTTGGTTTCTCCAATGTAACTACTACCACAGAGGCAACTTAGTTTGTAGACACCAGGGTATTGTATGTCCGGAATCACATCTTTTACAGACGGAACCAGATCACGGATTTTATGTAATGTGTTGAAACGGACCTGGATCTTGTGTTTATTCAAGATTTTGGAGATCTTTTTTGTGATCCCAGCAATGTAGGGTAAAGTGATGGTTTTGAAAGGCTCCTCAAGAGGGTTCTTCTTCATGGTTTGAGTGATAGCTTTGCGGATTGTATAGTCGGAGTAACCATTATCCCTAAGAGCTTGGTGTACGTGCTTGAGTTCACTGCTTATGTGTTCCTGGTCGGATATGCATTGGGCTCTATGATACAGAGTTTTGATGAGAGAATTCTTCTGTGATGGATGGTGGTGGGAATCCGGTTTCAGATAAGCATCCGTATGGGTAGCTTTCCTGTAGACAGAGTGGCTCATTGAACCATCAGGTCTCTTTTTAATTAGGACATCCAAAAAAGGTATCTTGCCATCTATTTCGACTTCCATGGTAAATCTGATGGCTGGGTGTATGGAATTGATGTGGTCGAAGAATTGGTCTAGAGCAGGCCGGCCATGTGGCCAGATGACAAAAGTGTCATCCACGTACCTCTTCCATAAGGTTGGGCGCAGAGTGGCAGTCTGGATGGCGTAAGTCTCAAATTTCTCCATGAAAATGTTAGCTATAACTGGAGAAAGGGGGGAGCCCATTGGGGTGCCCTCAGTTTGTTTGTAGAAAGTTCCATTCCAAGTGAAGTATGTATTGGTTAAACAGTGTCTCACCAGGGGGGGGTACCTCAGTGTTTAGTCCTTGATGAACTAAGTCTTCAATGATTGCAATGGTGTCAGGTACAGGAACCTTGGTGAATAAGGAAACTACATCAAAACTGACAAGCAGGTTGTCTGGGGACAGGGAAATACCCTTGATTGTCGATACCAGGTGAGTAGAATTTTGTACCGCAGAGGTGGTCTTTCCAGTGAAAGGACGCAGGATTTCAAACAAAAAACGAGCTAGTTTGTAGGTGGGGGAGCCGATAGTAGAGACTATGGGACGAAGGGGTGTATCTACTTTATGTATTTTTGGTAAGCCGTATAATCTTGGTGGCCTGGCAGCAGAAGGTTTCAACGAAAACTGTTTAGATTGATCAATTAATGCGGTTGAATCAGAGATTATTTTGTTAAAGAATTACTCGACGATGGTAGTTATACAAAAATAAAAAGAGATCCCACCAACAGCCTCGTCACACAAACCAACAAAATAATCCAGGTCCGTTTCAACACATTATATAAAATCCGTGATCTGGTTCCGTCTGTAAAAGATGTGATTCCGGACATACAATACCCTGGTGTCTACAAACTAAGTTGCCTCTGTGGTAGTAGTTACATTGGAGAAACTAAACGCCATGTCTCGGACCGCATTCGTGAACACAAAGCAGACCTTAAACACGGTAGGACCAACACCTCGGCCGTGGCAGATCATTGTTCTAATTCAGTAGGCTCACATGCCATTGACTTTTCCGACAGAGGTTCTTTGTAAGCCATCTGGCTTCCATGAGAGATTCGTTCATGAGGCTATCCACATATACAAGCACAGAGACAATTTCAACCGAGAAGATGGATTCTATCTTAGCAATCATTGGAAAGATTTGATAAACCATTTCAGGTCTTAATTGATTGTTCACGCTTACAGTGGCTTTCAGACAGCATACATTATAAAAAATTTCGTCTCCCCCCTCCTCTTTTCAGAATATAGATGGACTAGTCCTGGGTAAACTGCCAAATCGTTGCGCGTGGCGCTAACGTTTTTTAATAAATAAATAAATGCGCCGTTTAAAAATAAATTGATGCGAACCAACACACCTGAAGACGACCGTTTGAGTTATGGTCGAAATGTCGTGAGAATTTTTTATTGTTTTATATATATTTTATTATTTTGTTGTTTCTCTTCAACGTGACTTTACCGAAAAAACTAAGAACATAGATCCTATCATGTTTGCGAGCCATTCTCCACGTGCTAGGGGCGCGGCCGTCGGGCCGTGGGGCCATACGTTCCCCACCCCTGCCCCGCAGGCTCCAAATCTGTCCGACAGAGATTCCGCAAGTGCGGTACGTCACGCTCAACCCTGCTTGCAAAAGACGCTTAACCTACGCGTCCTGACCGATGGACAAACACAGCCAGTGGGTCAACACCACAGCACATCCCGGACGCGTGCGCGTGCGCGTGCCGTGCGTGCGCACGAACCCAACGCCAAGGGCGCCTGCACCGCAAGGAGGGCGCTCGCTGCCGGCCACCAACTTCAGGCCTCTGCTCTTGAGCAAGCGTTTCGTTTAAAGTGGAACCAAGACCCGACGTGGAGTGGCGCAGGGGGGCTTTGCACGAGCCCTGGCTCGAGGGGGGGCCTCCCGCTCGTCAACCGTCCCCTCCTCTCCGTGACCCGGCGCCCCGGCCTCTTTCGCTCCGAGGGACTCCCCGGCATAAATTGCACGGCCCGGCAGCCGCACCCGCTGCCGGCGAGGAACTCAACACCGCAAACCGCCTCCGTGACGCGAGGGCACCCCCGAGGATCGAGCGGAGGGGTGCTACTTCAGGCGAGAGCGTGGCACCGCTGTGCAAACACGCACACGTCGCTCGAGGAGACCGCGCGGACGTCACTCGCCGTGCCGAGCCTGCGCAGACTGTCACCTGCGTTTAGTTTCCTGGTGCCGTGGTCTGCCGCGGTGGAGCCTGAGGAGCCGTGACGCGGTGGATGGGGCGCGCTAAGATGACTGGCAAAGTCTCGTCCATCTAGTCTGTCCAGAAAAACAAGGAAAGAAACCGACCTCTGTTCAAGTTATGATAGCCGAAACCGAGAGCTCAAGAAACCAGGGCAGCCTTTCCTTTGTACGAGTGACCCCGGGTCACCCAAAAATGAAAACAGCAGCGGGCATGAAGTGACGCACAACGTGAACCAAATGGATCATAATTCAACCGCGTTACAGATTTAATTGAAAGCGGTGGAAAAAAACGTGAAAAAATAGCCAACTCAAATTAATTTCATTTCACAAAATTTTAAATGGGCGCCCCCCCCACCACCCCTGTCCATGTATAGTCACACGATTGGCACCAACATCCGCTGTTAGGGACATCACAGCGCAAAACGGGGGGGGGGGGGGGGTAGGGCGGGGGGTGGGTGGCCAGCACCGCACCCAGCTGCCTTTGTCTTCCTAGTTCTGATGTTTACACTCATCCAAGGTTCAGTTCAGCTCGTGGAGGCACTCCAGAACAGGTTTGGCTGGATATCAGTAATACTGTATTATAATCTTCTCCGAGGCTGGGGATCGAATCCAGGCCATCAGATCTGTAGCGCGAGGTGGGACCAACTCACTGTACTCACTGGCTACACCAACTCAGATCTCTCACCTGGCTAAGTCAACTCAGATCTCTCACCTGGCTACACCAACTCAAATGTCTCACCTGGCTACACCAACTCAGATCTCTCACCTGGCTAAGTCAACTCAGATCTCTCACCTGGCTACACCAACTCAAATGTCTCACCTGGCTACACCAACTCAGATCTCTCACCTGGCTAAGTCAACTCAGATCTCTCACCTGGCTACACCAACTCAGATCTATTACCTGGCCACGCCAACTCAGATCTCTCACCTGGCTAAGTCAACTCAGATCTCTCACCTGGCTACACCAACTCAGATGTCTCACCTGGCTACACCAACTCAGATCTCTCACCTGGCTAAGTCAACTCAGATCTCTCACCTGGCTACACCAACTCAGATGACTCACCTGGCTACACCAACTCAGATCTCTCACCTGGCTACACCAACTCAGATCTCTCACCTGGCCACACCAACTCAGATCTCTTACCTGGCTACACCAACTCAGATCTCTCACCTGGCTAAGTCAACTCAGATCTCTCACCTGGCTACACCAACTCAGATCTCTTACCTGGCCATGCCAACTCAGATCTCTCACCTGGCTAAGTCAACTCAGATCTCTCACCTGGCTACGCCAACTCAGATCTATGGGTGAGCCCAACCAGCCCCCTCACCTTTGCCAAGGGAATGAGCGCTACGGGATGCATACAGCCTGGGAACCAGGAGGATCAGAGACAGTCCGATTGCAATGCAAGTATTTACGAGCGCACGGGTTAAAGTGTCGTATCGTTTGCTCAGTGAATGGAAAAATAAGAGTTTAACACGTAGGCTTTCGCGACCAATATTATTCATAATAAAGGTTTTTGGGTTAGATCGCGTTATTTATAAATGTGTCGTAACCCTCCACCCGACGAATTGCCCGATGATGCTGGATGTATTTACCAGCGAAACGTCGTACTCAAACTGTAAATGTTGTGGATTCACTCTTCAACACACCGGTGGGCTAAAGTAGTGAATTATTTGTCTTTTGTCAACGTGACACTTTTTTTGCTGATTGGCCATGTCAGGTGGTGGAGAGTTACGCCACATTTATAAATAACGCGATCCAACCCAAAAACCTTTATTATGGAAAAATATGAATAGGTTTTACCCTTTCTGGCAATGAAACAGGTGTCATGATGTCCAAACACCAAATAGAGAGATAGCTTTTGCAAGGAATCAAGAAAGGTCCCATGGTAGATACAGATCTGCACAGCGTAATGGAGTATGTGAGCATTCAGCCGTATGACAGCCGCTCTCATCACATAAAACCCAGCACAAACAGCGCTTGCTGCACGTGAAGCCTCACGGCACCAACGTGAGAGCCACATCGTGAGCAGTCCCCCCGGGTTAATCCCACAGACATCACCATCGCCACGATCATCATCAACACCAATACCATCGTCACCACCACCACTGTTACCATCACCGCCATCGACGACGACTACCACCACCATAATTACTAACCACTATGATTACGAACACTGTCACCACAGCATGACAACCTCTAACATCGGCACCACCCTCGCCACCCACAGCCGTCGTCTTTGCCACCCTCTGGGCAACAACCATCACCATCGTCACCTGAATTCCGCATTCGCGTCTCAGCCGCCGCTCCGCCCCAGACTCCAAAACCACCGCCGCCTCCTCCTTCACCACCACCGTCTCCTCCTCCTTCACCTCCTCCACCGTCTCCTCCTCCTTCACCACCACCAACAACAACGAGGGCACAGGCAAGGCGTGAGGAGAAGCCGGCGGGGAACAGCAACGAGCTACAGCTGAGCAGCCAGCGAAGAGAGCCGAGGGTTGAGAGAGCGGAGGGAGATGAGAGGGAGCGAGGAGGCGGAGGGTAGAGAGAGGAGGAGGGTAGAGAGGAGGAGGCGGGTAGAGAGGATGAGGGTAGAGAGGAGGAGGGTAGAGAGGAGGAGGGTAGAGAGGAGGAGGGTAGAGAGAGGAGGGTAGAGAGAGGAGGCGGGAAGAGAGGAGGAGGGTAGAGAGGAGGAGGCGGGTAGAGAGGAGGAGGCGGGTAGAGAGGAGGAGGAGGGTAGAGAGGAGGCGGGAAGAGAGAGAGGAGGAGGCGGGTAGAGAGAGAGGAGGGTAGAGAGGAGGGTAGAGAGAGGAGGGTAGAGAGAGGAGGCGGGAAGAGAGGAGGAGGCGGGTAGAGAGGAGGAGGCGGGTAGAGAGGAGGAGGAGGGTAGAGAGGAGGCGGGTAGAGAGAGGAGGCGGGAAGAGAGAGAGGAGGAGGCGGGTAGAGAGAGAGGAGGAGGAGGGTAGAGAGGAGGAGGAGGGTAGAGAGGAGGAGGAGGGTAGAGAGGAGGAGGAGGGTAGAGAGGAGGAGGCGGAGGGTAGAGGAGGAGGAGGCGGAGGGTAGAGAAGGAGGCGGAGGGTAGAGGCGAGCTCTGCGCATGTGCGTCCGTGCGGCTTGGGGGGGGGTGAGAGACAGCCGCGTCCGCCGCGTCCCGCCATGGTGAGTGAGCGAGTGGAGCTGCCCTCGTCTCTGCCTCTCTCTCTCTCTCACCCCTCTCTCTGTCTCTCTCTCTGCCCTTCGTCTCTCTCACCAAACTCCCTCGTGCTCTCGCCACCACCACCACCGCCGCCACCACCACCTCCATGTCCCCGGCTCGTCCGGAGTCTCTCCCCACGACCCCCTTGCCCTCTCCCCGGCTCTCGATCCTCGCAGCCCCGCGCCGGGGTCCATCGGCCCCGGGGGCCCCGGCGTCTGGGGCGGGTGCGGGGAAGATGGTGTGTGTGTGTCCTTGTGTTGATGTTGGTGATGGTGAAGGGGTTGGTAGCGATGGGGGTGGTGGCAGCTGGCGGCGTTGTGTAAGCGAGGGGGGGGCCCCTGCGTGTTGTGGCGGGCACTGGAGCCGGCCTGGCTGTGGCAGGGCCTGGGGGTGGTGTGCAGGGCACAGGGTCTCGTGTTGATGGTGGTGGTGGTGGCCGATGGTGACGTTGTTGTTGTTGATGGTCGGTCAGGGGGAGGATGGTGACGGTATGTGTAAGCCAGAGGCCGTCGCTGTGACGCCGAGTGGAGAGGCTGGGCCGCTTTGGTCAGGCCCCGTGGAGACGGACTTTGTGTTGTTGTTGTTGATGTTGTTGTTGTACGCGGTGATGGTGACGATGTTGGTGATGTTAGTTGTTGATGGCCATTAAGGTGTTGACGCGTAGCGATAGACTGGCACTGCTGCCGGACTACTGCCGCCGGTGCTAGGCCCGCATTGCTGTGGCTGGGCGCAGGGCGACGGGGATCCGGACGGTGTTGATGTCAGCGATGGCCGTGCTGGGGCTGTCATTCGTGATGTGCTTTAGCCAGGATGCTGTCGCCGTGATGTTGAGTTGACAGGCCTGGCCCAGACCGTCCTCACTCGTGGTGGCCCATGGATGTCAACACATTGACGAGTGTGTGAGGCCGACCGGAATACATGGCAGGCCCAATGGACGGGGGTGGGGGGTGGGTGTCACGGTGGATGTTAGTGATGTACATTTGTTGGTGGTGATGATGATTGTTGTTGTGGTAGTAGTTGATGGTGGATAGAGAGAGTCGAGGCTGTGGCCTAGCTCAGTGTTTGTTATCGTGAGAGGCTGGGAGGTCGGAGTCAGGACCAGACCCACAAACACATGGGTCAGGGGTCAAACGTTGGCTCCTTAACACTGCAGGCATGGGTCAAGGATGTACCCTAATCACTTGGTCAGATATGCTCCATAAACACTGGGTTCAGGGTTCAAAGGATATCCTAAACAGGGGTCAAGCTGATTCCCTAAATAAAGGGGTCACAGGCAAACCATAAACACTGCGACCAGGGTTCAATTCTGACCCCAGACACTACCATCAGGGGTCAAGGGTGACTCAACACCAGGGTCAAGCATATCGACTGCACCCTGTATCACGAGGTCAGAGGTCACACCTGGGCCCTGTTCTTTGGCCACGGTCCGGCCTCTCACGTCAGCCCAGCAGTTGCGTGTTTGAGGGGTCCAAGCTGTGCCTGCCACTTGAGTCTCTTACTCGCATTTACAGATTCATTTCCCCGATCGCGTCCACGAATTGTCATTTAATGAATGTAATCCAGTCTTTTTAAAACCTCCTTTGTAAAGTCTTGTTTATACTGTATTATTTGTACTGTCTCATTTGTACTGTAAATTGTGTCCTGTTTCAATTGTGTCACCTGCCTCGTATATTCTGTCACGTTTCGCCCGTCTCTGCACAGCATTAACAGATAATTTGCATAAACAGTAAATCATTCTTACATACATAATTCTATGCGTGTATCACGAGTGTAAGAATACATTTCAGTGATATTACATGCCTACTCCATGTGTGTGTTTCACTCAGAACCTGAACCCCTTCCGTTAAGTTTACTTAACTCGCAGTAAGATCAAGTTCCCTCCAGATTTCAAACCCCACTGAATGAGCTCAAAATGCCCATAGACACTGCTCCCCTGCCCTGACGCCGGGCAGCTTGACTCAATCTCGGAGGATGCCCCCTCGTCTTCGCCATCTGATTTCCGCTGGAAGTATCGAGGCCTCATCCACACATGTGCAGAGGAACTGAGCAACGCTTTCAGCCTTCACTGTAGATGCCCCCAGAGGAGCCATCGGCCAAATAATCCACCTGTCCTGAACTTGTCATGGCACAGAGGGCCCTGTGTGTGTGTGTGTTGGGCTAGAGAAGAGATGGAGTGATGTGGTACAAGAGGATGTGGAGCTGAGTGGACTTAACGATGACTGGGACCAGCAGTGTCAAAATTGGTCCCTGTAGAGAAGGACGCTACTAGGCAGTTGGAGGCAGTTGCCCTCCAGCAACAAGGGAAGGCAGAGGAGTAACGCTCAAAACAACGAGTGGAGCGTCGGGTGGCTAAAACACAGCAAGTTGGCACAGTAGGGGGAACAGGTGGTGCATCGGCCACTCATCTCTCAGTCGACCCATGGCACCTGGGTCTGTCCAGTGACCTCCTGCCAGCGGGCGTTTGACACCTCACGTGGCTTTAACGTGCACATAGCCTGGCACAAGCACCCTGGTGACGTCACCGCCACTTAGTGACGAATGGCGGTTGTTGTCGGGAGAGGTAGGTGCGCTATGAACCCGGCAACCGGAGTTCAATTCCCGTTCACGACCAATAATGGTGGCGAATACCTTGACCAGTTCTGGACCTCCCCTCGGTCGACTACGCCTTAATTGAGTACCGAGTGCGGTTGATAAATATCAGCACCGGGGAAGACAAAGGCGGCAAGTGCGGGCCTTCATAGGTGCTCACTAACAACACTTGACCTAAGTCTTTTAAATGCTCTACGGGGGATATTTGTTTTTGTGATGTCCTGTGGCTTGCTGTAAAGCCTTTGCCATCCCAGTAGGCATCAAAGGTCACCTAGCCTGGCTCGGGTGTCGTCATGATATCGCTGCAATTTGATCATGAACGGTGGTTTTTGTGCCGTGTGTGCGCGGGAGGACACTGGCAAGTTGGCCTTAGTTTTTTTGTCTTCGTGTGCTTTCTTCCCCATCCTTCCAGAGATTCAAAAGATGATATTCTTCTGAACCTGTTTCTCCTACCATCCATTGCTAACCCCATCAGATATTGATGTTGTTACTGCCAGCAAATCGGGTATTTGCTCCTCCGTAAAGTGTATGCTCTGCATGCTTACGCACTGTGACAGGTGCATATTTCCGCGCGTACCTTGCTGCCCTTAAACGAAAACCAGTCGCTGCGGGGGTTAAACCGAAGGGTGCCATCAGCAGGGCTTTAATATTTCATTCTGCACGGCGCCTCTAAGTGGAGCTGGGAACGCTCAATGCTCTGATTCAGGTATTTTAATCAATAAAATTGTGCCTTATTTAGTAATAAACTTACAGGCACGTGAGCGACCCCCGCTTGAGCCCGCCCGTGTCGGCTGGCCGAGGGATTGAGCCGGTGTCATTGTACAGCTCGGCGAAGAGCACGGCCATATATATACACACTCGCCGGGTACAGTGCGGAGCAAGCATGCGAGGCATGCTTGCCAGACCCGGCCGGCGGAACGGCACGGCACGGCGCTGCCACGGCGCTGCCACGGCGGGCACAGAGGACAACTCGGTGTGAGCGACGGCGCCGAAATATCACGGGCGATCTTCTCTATATCGCCTTACACTGATTGAGTGGGGGGGGGGGGGCACAGGATAAACCAGATCTGAGGAGGGATGGGACGGGACATTTCCTCGGAAAGCGTAGGAACTCCGCAAATGGGATGCGGCAAACGCGGCTCGACAAGCCGGTGCCGTGAGCGAGCGGCGTCTCCCGTGTTTTGGCGAGCAACGGGCGCACGGCCGGGTTCCGCCAGACGCGCGCGCCGGGCTCTGTCCAGGCTTGCGCGCGTCGGGGGCTCGGTGCTGTGGCCTGCAGGGCGGTGCTGGCGGGCGCCTGGAGCGTTTGCGGACAATGAGATTGAAGCGGCGCAGAATTGAGGGGCGCGCATACCCAGCTCCGGTGAACACTCGCGACCATGCACGGCCACTTCAGCCGTAGAAACGCGCTCTAATTTTGGCTTCACTGTGTCCTTGATGTGCCCCGCACATTTTCAACTTCCAGGATTCAACAATGAAAATTGAAAGTTTCGTGTAAGGCAGTATTTTACGGCTGCATAGGTTTTTGCGGTCGCGCTCCACAGCTCCCCGACGCGCTATCGTGCTGCGCCGTGTGCGGTTCGATGTCTGACGTCTCGCTGCACGTGCTGGGAGCGTCTTCAGGAAAAAGAGCGAAACGTCAGACATCATGCCGAACAACACGTGGGGCAACCTGGAAACGTGTCGAAGAGAACGACATCATCATTATTATTATTATTCTTACGGGGCTGTCAGAGGTTATCTTCCTCCTGCCTGACGGAGGCGTCGCATTTTCCCACAAAACTGACACTCGAGGCCTAATGTCAACCGGCAGCTGAATCGGCATCTAAGGCGCAAACCGAACACCACCGTGTAACGAGCAAGCGAAGAAGGAGCAGCTAGAGGTGCTCGTCGCTTTTGCAATGATCTCCCACAACCGCCGTGCGTGCCACTCTCCTAAGAGACCCCTCGCAGTGCTCTGCTGTTAACACGTGGCACGGCGGTGCCACCTCTGCTACCCTTTCTCTGCTACGATACGCGCGGCGCTCAACTTCAGCCGGAACAGCCGGAATGCTGTTCCGGGAATGATTTTGGCATGCCAGATCCCCGTCTCTCCCTTACTTTGTCCAAAACCTGTTCATAGGGATTCTCTAGGCATAATAGAGGAGAGCTCTGGATAGGGGCGCACCTTGCGCTCACGTGTTAGTTCTCGTGCCGTACGTCGGTAATCCCCACTCCGAAACCAGCCCAGCAGCTCTCAAGGAAAATGTCTCGTGATAAATTAAGCCGCATGAGAGTCCAGCAAAGAAAGGGCCATTCTAGAAATGTTCCCAGGCTTTCAACAAATTCACCTCCTCCCTCACACCCTCCCTCCCTCCCTCCCCGCCGTCATTTGATGAATTGTGACGATTCATGGTCTTCAATCATTTTAATAATCGATAATTAACGTCTACGAAAAGGTCAGATTATTTCTTGCCGCTCAAATGAGCATCGAGACGTTGCTCATCCCCTGTTTTTACAGCCCCTAATCCAGTGGTAGAAATTCCACATTCCTTTGGCAGGAGTGAGGCTCTCTGTTAGGAATAAGCCATTGCGACTTCCACACAAAGCAGTAACTATTTTATGGACCCCGGAGGGATGATGGGCTGAGTCCACCCCTAACCAGGATTTGAAGTCGTAACCTTTCTATTGCGAGCCGCTCGCGCTACTGTTGAGCCACAAGGCTGGATCGCATTATCGTGCAACGTTATGTAATCTGCGTGAATCATAAATAATTGATTCTTCCACGCAGAATTTAACGTGTGTACCGTGAGCATGAGAGAATCGGTTTCCGTCGGCGAACCGATGAATCGTTGCACGCCTAAGAATTTAGCACACCAAGAGCGCTCCCTGATTCAGGTGTAAGTTCTATGTGTAAGCAAAAAGGCAGCACTTTTTTGCTTTCACGCTGGCGCATGCCACTCGTGGTTCCAGATGGCACAAGCCCTGGACACAGTGACCGGAGCGGGCGGACATGTAGACACAGGGGCATCCAGGGTGGACACGTGGACACGGAGAAACAAACTGGACTTGTGGGCTTCGGGACAAGAGTGGTGGACGTGTACACAGATATGATGATGATTATTATTCTTGTTTACCCAGCAAAGTGTCACTGAGTGAACACGTTTTTTAGGAGGGTCCTGCCAAGATTTCTCAGTTGGGGGGGAGGGCAGGGGGTGGCGAAGTTCCTGCTGTGTGATCCCAATTGAGTCATTTGCAGGTAGCCCTTCAGCATTGGGATGTTTGACCGATACCAGTTGCATTCTACGTGATTTTTTTTTTTAGCTGTGGCAGGAGGAAACCGGACAACCCGGAGAAAACCCATGCAGAACACAGAGGAGAGAGTCCATAGAAACTCCACACAGAGAGGCACCCAAGAACACGGAGCAGAGAGTCCATAGAAACTCCACACGGAGAGGCACCCAAGTCTGAAATCGAACCCAGGCCCTTGCTGTCAGGCACGAGTGTTAATGCTGCGCCACCCTTTTGCCCAGTCGACAGGCAGTGGGTGGACACAGAGACAGGCGGGATGGATATGCGGGCGCAATACAGGCTGGGTGGTGGATGGTAGAGGGCATAACGCGGACGGTGATCTCGATGCGTCATCATCGCTTCCATTGGTCGTTAAAAGTTCGAGCAAGTTTACGTCGCGTCGTCCGCCGATGGCTGCACAGTACGATTTGGGCTGATGTGGCGTCGTCTACATGTGAGCCACATCGCAAGACGCTGCACAGAGAGGGAACATTCCCGTCGGTCGCTCTGTTTAGGATTATTTTGAGGCGGGGGGGGGAGAGGAGGGAGGTATTCAGAGGTTGGATGGCGACAGGGCGCGGAGAGTTTGAGTTTATTTTTACGTTGCACAGATGACGGTCCCGCTTAGGCGGTTGCCCCGCTATTCTCCACTGGAGTTCCGTGCACAACATAAGGGAGAGGGGACGGCAATACGGTATTTTTTTTACTCTCTCTCAAATAGAGAGTCCGTGGCGGACAGAGAAAGAGGACGTATAAAGCTTGTCCATGAGCAGCTTCTGCACACACAGAGGAAGGGCGATTTCTGCGTGCTGTGTTTAGAGTAAGTGAGAGCTGGGATGTCCAATTATATGAGCAGTTGATTACTCCACTGATTATATCGGGTCCATTACTCAACGTATCGGACAACAGGAAAATGTTAAACAAAAAAGTATCATCTGTTCGCAAGCGTGCTGCTGGACAGAAGACGATCGGCTGGGTTTGGTGATGTTAGCGGCATCATCGGCCGTGTCACGCTTGGAGTGGCTTGCAGGAGTTCTCTCGGGCGGCCACCAATTATTACCCCAACACAAAGACAAAGATCCCCCATATAGCCTGTAACAGGTTATTGGGACAAGTGCTGTTAGCGAGCACCTATGAAGGCTGGAAACGGCACACGATGGGGTGGCTCGCCAACACCACGCCCGGCCGCCTTTGTCTCCCCAGCGGCGATGTTTACACACCGCACCAGGAACTCTTTTGAGGCTCAGTCGACCTAGGGAATGCCCAGGACCGGTTCAGATAATCGTCACCGGTGTTGGCCGTGAGCAGGAATCGAACTCGGGTCGCCGGGTTCATAGCACAGCAGCGTAGCGCTAATCAATACACCACCGCTCCCCAACATACACACACGTACACACACACACGCACACAGACGCACACACAAAAAAAGAGTCTGCTTCGACGTTCGTTCAGTGGATTCGTCGACTGAACTGGACTCATGGTGACAGCCGAGTTGTAGAGGGGGATGTAGACGCAGGGCTGCAGGGAGCTGCTGCAGCTGCAGGGAGCTGCTGCAGGGAGCTGCTGCAGGGATGGTGTCTCCTGCGGTCGCCGGTTTGAGGCCCCAGCCTGGCCTCGTAATAATTACCGCCGCCTCCCGCTGCCGTGGGGCCCGTCGCCTATTAAAAATGCAGGCCCCTTCTGAATCGTTTAATTGCGAGAGGAGGAGGTGATTGAGCGGAGGAGGAGGGGGGTGGGTGTCTCGGTGATGAACCGGAAGACCCATGCACGTAAGCAAAAAAACGCACACGCCGCTACGAGACGCTGACGCTGGGAAATTGTTGCTATTCGTTGATCTCTGCGGAGGCGGTAAACATCGGTTTGCAGGATTCCGTGCGACCTGTGCTCCCCGAGTTTCGGTTTGCGCCATGGACAGCTTTGATTGACGAGCAGTGTCCGAGAATATCTTGGGCCTCCTCAAGGTTGACTCAGCCTTAACTACAGGTGTTTGGTATGGCGTGTCAACATTTAGCACTGGGAAGAAATATTGGGTGGTTGGTTGGTTGGTGCTGGCCACACATGATAGTCTTAATTGGTGGTTTTAATTGGTGGTCTTAATTGGTGCTCGCTACCAGCGCTTGCCCCAACAGTCTAGTATTGACTCTATTGGTGCTCTTTGTGTGTGTGTATGTGTACCTGCTTATGCCAACATGCTGCACAGTGGGGTGCAGAGGTGCTGCATCTGCCAGTTAGTTCAGTTAACCCATGACACCTGGATCTGACGTGTCGAGCCTTCGACACGTCACGTGGCCTCAAAGCGCACCTCGTCAGGCGCGGGCACTGTGGGGATGTCACCACCAGTCGGCGGCGAATGGCGACTGTTGTTGTTGTTGTTGTTCAGGAACTTGGTGATGGTGGGCAGTCGTGGGTACGACTGGCTGCGTGGCCCGGATACAGACATTCCCTGTTCACCCTGGGGTGCCACAGGGATGTGCCTTGTGCTCTTTACGGTATCGGGCAACTACGTGCAGCTCGTTACGTTAATTTGTTTGCGTTAAGCTTGGCCGCACTGCTGCCGAGCCCCAACAGGACCGTACGCATACAGTGCGTGATTGCCGCCCCTGACCAAACGCAATTAAAGTGTGTGTGTGTGCGCGCGCGCGCGATCGGCTGAATCAGAATGTTGACAGGTGATGGGAGCTCACGGAGACTGTGCCTTCGGACGTAATTTAGATTTGATTTGAATACTGAAAACGGGTTTGCGGTCGATTAAACGGGCCGAGCGTTAAACAAAAAAAAAACTCCGAGCGGTGTATGAATTAAAATGTGTTCTAAACGGGAGTAAAGCCCCTCGCCAAATGACCCACAGTGGCGATCGGTCTCATCAGATCTCAGAAGATAAGCAGGGCTGGGCTGAGATGGTGCTTGCTTGGGTGGCCACCGCATACAAACAGGCCGTCGGATGTGGCCGCGTGGCTGCGTGAACCGGACTGACCACCGTGGTGAAGTATAACACCCACGACCCGCGCGGCGAGGCCCTCACGCGGCAGTGGATTGAGAACTCCGCGCACGCGTGCGGGGGCAGGTCACCGTTCTCACGAGGCTGCTTCTGCGACTGCGGTGTCACCGCGGCAATTGTGGCGGCGAGTTCCCTCCGCGAGTCCCATGGGTTGGAGGGACACCGTGTCTGTGCGCAGACGGACGACGCGGCAGCGATGGTCGGCGTATAATTTATTGCGCAATGCTATATGCGCGCAATGTCCCAGTGTATCGCGTTGCACTCGCACACGTCATGAGGACACTTCCCATAAACTTCTCTCCAGCTGCTGATCACCGCACACGCGCTCAGCCCGGCGCACAAGGCAGACTCAGCATTCCCATATTCAGCTTGAATTATTGATCGGTGCTGCCACCATTCACAACCAGCGCCGTCTGGGCTTCCCAGACTGCATGGTGCCTTTCGTTTACATTCTGGAGTATTAATGATTAATAATGCCCTTTCTTTGTTCAAGAAAGTCTCGCTGAAGTCTCATGCCTCTGTTTCAGGAGGGTCCTGCATTGGGCTGCTTGGCCAGTTTCATTCAGAAGTGTTTGCCTTGTGGAGGAAACTGGAGTTTTCGGACAAAAGTCTGCGTATACGAGATGCTGACGCTCGCAGCTCCGCACAGATGGATTCAGGAAGCCACTGCTGCACTGCCATCTCCTGGTGTAGAGTTGGGCTGCGAGGTGGCCACCTCATGTCGAGTTAGGTTATGGGCAGCCTGCCATTCCATTCGGAGCCAGGCTCCACCCTGCTTAGCTCTTGTGGTCCGGCAAGTACGAGAGCATCGTTAGCCGAACCGTTGTTTGGGCCGGCTCCGGAGTCGCGTTTACGGTTACAGCAGAGGCGGTGACCCGGGGGGACGGACCCCCCCGCGCCCTCCCCCCCCCCCTGCCGGCGATGCTGACCGCGTGCCGCGTGCCGCGTGCAGTACAAGCTCAAGTCGACTCAGAAGGAGAAAGTGCGTCAGTTCATGGCGTTCACGCAAACGAGTGAAAAAACGGCCATCGCCTGCCTCGCGCACAACGACTGGAAGCTGGAGCTGGCCATCGACAACTACTTCCAGAACCCCGACGTCTACTACAAGGACAGCGTCAAGAGCTCCGTGGACAGGAAGCGACTGGAGCAGCTCTACAACCGCTACAAAGGTACCAGCACCGCCGAGGCCCGGCGGACGGTGGACAGGATTGGTGTCCTTCCCCCGCACCTCCGACGAACGCGGCTGGCTACGTACGGTGCGAAAGAGGTTCAGCATACAGTAAAACCTTGGCGAGTAACTTGGTCTGCGAGTGTTTTGCAAGACGAGCAAAATGTTTAAATAAATATTCATTTGATAAACGAGCGAGGGTCTTGCAATACGAGCAGTGTACGTATACGCTTTGTCTGCCGAGTGCCACGTGATCACAACTGATATACGAGCGCTCTGATATACGAGTGCTTTGGATTACAAACACGTTTCAGGAACGAATTATTCTCGCAATCCGAGGTTTTACTGTACGTACAATTCGAAGTAGAGTGGTCAGCCACTCGCCGATGTATCGCCAGCGGTCGCGTTCCCTCCTTGTCCACTCGCCTATGGATACTGCCACGTCCCGTGTTCCCGTACACCTCACTCGCCGATTCCTCCACTCATGCCGAGGACTCCGGGTCTACCAGACCATTTCATCTCATCCGTACGGTGTTCAGCGACAGCCACCATGTCGCACAACTCTATTTTCTGCTTCTTTTCTCGCACTGCTCCACCTTGGAACTCGCTCTCATCACCTCTCTTTCCCCAAGTTTTTATAATAACATTGCTCAATTAGAAAAAAAAAAACCTATTCACACTGATCTATCACAAATGTAAAAGTGCTCTTTTGTCGCCGGAAACTTGACGATATGGGCCTTTGGACCTGTGCTCATTAACCGCAATGCCTACGATAATCACCCAGGAATGTCTGTCCTTAACGCTCGTGACGTCACTCCACATCGACCAGCCCCCCCCTCATTAATAATCATGAACAGGTTACGTCCTCCACATGGACCCGCCTCTCATTAATAATCTTTAGCGGGTGACGTCACTCTGCATGGCGAACCCCTCCCCCCCCTCATTAATAATCTTGAGCAGATGACGTCCTCCAAACGGACACCCCCCCCCCCTTTCATAATAATTAGCGGCTGACGTCACTCCACATGGAGGGGGCGAGGCGCCTCCTCCCCCCTCCTCGGCATCAACTCACAACCCTCACTACAAAGGCAGAACCCTCACGTCACGCGGTCTCCGTAATGCTGTTGAGACATCAAAGCAAAAAAGACTTTGCGATGAACAAGGGATTATAACTTTAAAATTTAATAAGTCTGTGTCACGGCGCCCTTACAAATTGCACACGAATGGATGCAATGACTATCACGTCTCGCTCTGCTTTTCGCTTGGAAGTTTCAGATTTACTGCAATACACCCGTCCTTGGACGGGCAAAAGGCTAGTGATATATATTTGTCGACGTGGCACAATCTCACTGCCGCACCACGGGCAGGAGTTAGAGGGGGGGGGGGGGAACGATGAGACGGGTAGAGAGAGAAATTCACTAAATTGGCTCGTGCAGACAAAAAAAATGGCCTGCGTAGATTTTGTGACCTTTGAACCGGCGGCTTAGAAGCGCCATGAATCGCTGCTGGTGTTTGAAGTGCAGAGGGGCTCGGCGCTGCCGACGTACGGGGGGGGGGGGGAGTGTTTTTAGCGAAACATCTGTTCCCATTTGGCGCCGTTTAAGAGCATACAGGAAAGGGGCAATACTTATTTGTTTAATTGCTCGGCCGCTGGCGGAGCGGATCTCGCAGCGTAGGTCGAGGCTGCGCTTGCCGCTCGCGCACCGCGCAGATGGCGCCGCGGCGAGTCGCGGGTTGAAACGTTACTTCTCTCGCTCACGATCCTTGCGTCGTATTGCGTGCGTTAGAGAATCGATTATTTGCAACCTGCGATTACAAAATGCCAATGATATGCCGATGTTCAAATTCGGCGTGCCAAGCGGACAACCGCAAAGAAGACCACGGTGATTTCCTGTTAAAAGGAGCATTGAGGCGACGCGCTGATCTCGCGTTTACACTCCTGAGCCAGTGGTGGAAATTCCCCATTTGCAAGGCAGGCTGACGAGTCTATCCACAGGACCCCAACCACTGTTAATTTCCCCTCAAAACAGTGCTCATATTTTCGACCCCGGAGGGATGATTTGCCGAGTCAACCCCCTCCCCCCAACCGGAAGTTGAACTCGCATCGCTCTCATTGCGAGCTGCTCGCTCCGCCGCTGTGCCACCTGGCCGGTACAAGCGAGACAACGAACAATGCTCATGAGACGGTAAAACAAAAACAAAAACCAATCAAGTTAAGAATCACCACCTGGTTCCAAAATCCACCAGCACGTGACCGGATGTGCAATTCCTCCGAGTGCCACGAGTGACCACCCCTCCCTCCCTCCCTCCCTTCCCTCCCTCCCTCTCTCCCCTTCCTCCCTCCCTCCCTCCCTCCCTCCCTCCCTCCCCTCCCTCCCTCCCCTCCCTCCCCTCCCTCCCTCCCTCCCTCCCTCCCCACCCTCCCTCCCTCCCCTCCCCTCCCTCCCCTCCCTCCCCTTCCCCCCTCCCCTCCCTCCCCTCCCTCCCTCCCACCCCTCCCTCCCCTCCCTCCCTCCCTCCCTCCCTACCTCCCCTCCCTCCCTCACTCCCTCACCTCCCTCCCCTCCCCTCCTTCCCTCCCTCCCCTCCCATCCCTCCCTCCCCTCCCTCTCTCCCTCCCCTCCCCTCCCTCCCTCCCTCCCCTCCCGCAGACCCGACGGACGAGGAGAAGATCGGCATCGATGGCGTGCAGCAGTTCTGCGAGGACCTGCGCCTGGACCCGGCGAGCATCAGCGTCCTCGTGGTGGCGTGGAAGCTGCGAGCGGCCACACAATGCGAGTTCTCCAAGAAGGAGTTCCTCGAGGGCATGACGGAGCTGGGGTGAGACGTTTGCCCCGGGGCGCCCCGTAGCCACGCGCGGGGAGGTCGGGCCCCGGGTGGAGGGGGTGGGGGGGGTGGGGGTGGGGGCGCCCCGACGCGGCGTGACGCGCGTGGGGGTGTGGTCTCGGTGGGGACGAGTGCAGGTGCGACAGCGCGGAGAAGCTGAAAGCGCTGCTGCCGCGGCTGGAGCAGGAGCTTCGAGACCAGGTCCGGTTCAAGGATTTCTATCAGTTCACCTTCAACTTCGCCAAGAACCCCGGGCAGAAGAGCCTCGGTGAGACTCGCGCGCGGCGACGGGTCGGCCAGACTGGGCGGGCAGCGCTCGCGGGATAGAGGAGCGGCCTCTGCCGACGATCGCTTTCAGGTCGTGCCGAGGTTATCCTTTGAATTATTATTATTATTATTCTGCTTTTGTGCCATGGAAAGTATCACCGAGTCCCATGACCATTTCGGGAGGGTGCTGCCAAGTTTTTGCAACAGGGGGTGCAAATGATTGCTTTGCAAAAGTGCAGTCGAGTAATTTGCGGTGCGATTGTTTTCGAATTCGGACCATGCCGCCGGGCATGCAATGACCTCATGGGATATTCAACGTCGACTCTGAAGCAGACTGCGTGTTTTTTGTACGGGTAAATGCACCCGGTAGCCATTGATCAGGGCAGCCGCTGGATTTGAGACGTCAACCTCCGCGCCGGGCGGCGAGCCTGCAACCGCCCGCCGTCCGATTCACCGAAACCTCGGCAGGGACTGTGGAGGCCCTCGTCCAGCAGTGGGTTGACAGGAGAGGTGCGTGCTCACGCGTGCACTCCAGCAGACGAGCAGCGTCCCACGTTCATTCGAGGAGGGAGCCGCTGGGGCAGTTTTTGGCACCAGTCAAGTCACCGGAGAGACACCGGAGCCTGGCAGCCTGGCTGCTGTGCGTTGCACCGTCACTGCCACCACCGGTGGCTACTCGCTCAATTAAAAAAAGAGGCTCCATCTCGTGGCGGACGGCACGCATCGCGCCGTGCACAGGAGCTGCGTTAACTCAGGTGGCAGGGTGCTGGCGCAGCGGTGGCAACTGGTGCCCCGCGGCAAAAATGTCCGTGGGTTCGATTCCAAACTCGGGTGGCTTTTTTTTCATGGAGTTTGGATATTCTCTCCCTGTTCCGCATGGGTTTACTCTCGGTCCTCCGGTTTCCTACCATAGTTAAAAAAAACAAGCAAACACAGAATTTAAATGGTAATGGCAAAACATCCCAGTGCTAGAAAATTACCTGCAAAAGACTCAATTGGGATTACACCGAACAACATCGCCCCCCCTCCCCCCCCCCCCCTTACTCACAAACTTGGTAGGATCCTCCTGAAAGAGTCTCGAGACTCTTTCCTGGGTAAACAAACGTAGCAGTAATAATAATAATAATACTACACGAGACGCTGTCGCGAGATTGTGCGCACGTGGAATGCCCTTCCCCCGTGGCATCTACGCGCCAACCCGTTGGACAGCGATGCCACACCGTCGCGCGGGATCACCGGAGCTGCCTCGCGTCCGGCACGGCGCTGGCTGTCCTCGCGGTACCGAGTGGCCATGCTGTTACCGACTAAAAATAAATGTTACAGCCGTTGCGGTGTCGACATGATTCAGATTGAAAGCCCTAATGCAATTGTGATAGAGCCCCACTGGCAGCGAGCCACGATAGCGCTGCAACGCTGAAGAATGAGGATTCCATTTCTTAATTAATTGTCCGTTTTTGTGAAATTGTTTTACCTCGAAGCCAGCTCAGAGTGACTCGCGTCTGTGCTTGCTTGTGCGCGTAAAGATGTGGAGTCGTGGTGCCGTGGTGAGCGCGCTGCGCTATGAACCCGGCGACCCAAGTTTGATTCCTGCTCACGGCCAACACCAGTGACGATTATCTGAAACAGGTCATGGGCCTCCGCTAGGTCGACTCAGCCTCAATGAGTACCTGGTGTGGTGTATAAACATTACCACTGGGGAGACAAAGGCGGCCGGGCGTGGTGTTGGTCACCCACCTTCATAGGTGCTCGCTAACAGCACCTGCCCTCACAGTTTGTTAAGGCTATACGGGAAATATTTGTCTTTGTGTAAAGTGGTAACGTGTGTGTAAAGTGGTAACGTAGTGCTTGGCGTGCTGTGCTACAAACTCGGTTCAAACTCGGTTCAACTGCTGTGGTGATTATTTAAATTCCTGGCCCACTGCTAGGTCGACTTAGCCTGAAATAAGTATCTGGTGCAGTGTGTAAATATCAGCGTGAGGGCAACAAAGGCGGCCGGGCACGGTGCTGCCCACACCACCCCCCCCTCATGCACCGTGACATATTTTATGGGTGCTCACTAATGCCATTTTTTCCGACAGTTTATGTAAACTACATGGCTGTCAACCCCTGATCAGTGCCCTATATTATTACAGACCAATTCACACCTTATCGGTCACCTCGTGCCCCTTATAAATCTCAACGTTCATCCTACAAAGTCCCATCGCAAGGGAGAAACACAAACAAGTAGACATTTGTTTTGCCCGTATTGAAACGGCTGTACGCCGTATGGATCTTAACTCAAATTCCCTGTACAAGAATACGGGGCTAAACCGTGTGGGTTGACAGCTGTGAAACTATGCGGGGGATCTCTATCTTTGTACGTGCGTGCGTGTGTGCGTGCGTGCGTGTGTGTGTGTGCGCGTGTGTGCGTGCGTGTGTGCGTGTGTGTGTATGCCACTGTGTGTGTCTGTGCGTGCGTGTGTGTCACTGTGTGTGTCACTGTATGTGCGTGAGTGTGTGTGTGTCACTGTGTGTGTCAGTGTGTGCGTGTGTGCGTGCGTGCGTGTGTGTGCGTGCGTGTGTGCGCGTGTGCCTGTGTGTGCGCGTGTGTGCGCGTGTGCCTGTGTGTGCGCGCGTGTGCCTGTGTGTGCGTGCGTGTGTGTGTGCGTGTGTGTATGTGTGTGCGTGCGTGTGCGTGTCACTGTGTGTGTGTGTGTGTGCCTGTGTGTGCGTGTGTGCAGGTGTGTGCATGTGTGCGTGCGTGTGCCTGTGTGTGTGTCACTGTGTGTCTGTGCGTGCGTGTCACTGTGTGTGTCACTGTGTGTCACTGTGTGTGTGTGTCACTGTGTGTGTGTGTCACTGTGTGTGTGTCATTGTGTGTGTGTCACTGTGTGTGTGTCACTGTGTGTGTGCTACTGTGTGTGTCACTGTGTGTGTGTCACTGTGTGTGTGTCACTGTGTATGTGTGTGTCACTGTGTGCGTGTGTGTGTGTGTCACTGTGTGTGTGTGTCACTATGTGTGTCACTGTGTGTGTGTCACTGTGTGTGTCACTGTGTGTGTGTCACTGTGTGTGTCACTGTGTGTGTCTGTCACTGTGTGTGTGTCACTGTGTATGTATGTGTGTCACTGTGCGTGTGTGTGGTGGGGAGCGATAGTGTAGCGGTTAGCGCGCTGCGCTATGAACCTGGCGACCCGGGTTCGATTCCCGCTCACGGCCAACACCAGTGATGATTATCTGAACCGGTCCCGGGCCTCCCCTAGGTCGACTCAGCCTCAAATGAGTACCTGGTGCGGTGTGTAAACATTGCCACTAGGGAGACAAAGGCGGTCGGGCGTGGTGCTGGCCACCCACCCCCTCGTGTACCGTTCCGGCCTTCATAGGTGCTCGCTAACAGCACTTGCCCCTACAGTCTGTTAAGGCTATATGGGGGATCTTTGTTTTTTTTGTGTGTGTGTGTCACTGTGCGTGTGTGTGTGTCACTGTGCATGTGTGTGTGTCACTGTGTGTGTGCGTGTGTGTGTGTCACTGTGCGTGTGTGTCACTGTGTGTCTGCGTGTTCTGTACAGATCTCGACATGGCGATCGCGTACTGGAATTTAATACTCGCCGGCAAGTTCAAATTTCTCGACTTGTGGAACAAATTTTTGCTCGTAAGTATTTATATATATAAAGTACTTTGTTGTTGCTATGTGCTGTTTGGTATAAACACGTTGGGTGTGACATCACTAGACAGGGCATCTCTTGGGATCTCTCACAGGGGAGAAGTCATGCAGTACACAGAATTGCACAACAGGGGGAGTGTAATGCCGTGCAATGTTACACACCAGACTGTGTTCTACTCTTTGTGTGTGGCAATACCTTCAGCAGCTAAATGCCAATGTCGCCTGTTGTGCGTGAACGCTGCGCAATGTTACGCAACTCCGTTAACAACGCACTACCCGCACGCCGACGCGTATTCCTTCGCGCGTGCTCGATTTGTAAGCGACGCATTTCACGACGCACTCACGGACTGTGTTGCAATCGTGATGTGGCCACGGGCGGAGATAACCAAGGGGTGGTGGTGGGGGCCTCTGCTGCCGTGAAGGGGGTGGCCAGACAAGTCCTTGTAGTGCAACAAACTCGACCAGACGCGGACAAAGCCGTTCCCCGGGTGATTCGCTTGACGGTGATTTCGAGAGCAAATCGGTCGCGCAGCAAATTGGCTCGGGCTCGCGGACGCACCCATGGGGCCTACCAGGAGTTAATCTCTCGCCGGATATTTTACGGTTCGACGGGAGAGACCTGAGTGGGGGGGGGGGGGAGGGTGGCACGTGTGGCACGTGTGGCACGTGTGGAGCGGCAGCCACGGCCAGACGTGGCGTCCCGGGTGCGGAGATGCGTCCTGAGCCGTCGACCCGTGCAGGCCCGGCCCGGAATTAATTAAAACCCTGGGCCGCACAAACGTTGAGCGGGCACCCCACGCAGCTCCGGGAGGGCCCCCTCCCCCTGCCAGGGTGGGGAACTGGCGACCGTTGAGCCGTGCGTGCGGACGCCGTGCCCCGCAGGAACATCACAAGCGCGCCATCTCACGGGACACGTGGAACCTGCTGCTTGACTTCAGCAACATGATCGCAGACGACATGTCCAACTACGACGAGGAAGGTGGGCCCAGCGCTAGAGCATCACCTGCCAACGACTCGATCGGGATTGCACCGAGCCTCATCGCCCCCCCCCCCCCCCCCCACCCCCTACTCGAAAACTCGGTGTGACCCTCCTGAAAGAGCCTTGAGACTCTAGCTGTGCTGGATAAACAAGCGTAATAAATAATAATAATTTCAATGTGGCGTCTAAATGCAAGCGCATCTCAAGACCTCGTCAAACGGACACTTGCGCAGAGATGTACATGCACGCGGAAGAGAACGATCGCCCATTTAGCCTGTAGAACGTTGGGGCAAGTGCTGTTAGAGAGTACCTATTCAGCCCAGCACAGCATACAGATACTCATTTTAGGTCGGCCTAGGGGAGGCGCACGATCGGTTCAGATATCACTTGCGACTGATGTTAGCCATGGCCTGGGACGCAAACCCAAAGCATCAGGATCATATTTCAGTGCTGATCACTGCACGACCGCCCCCTCTCCCGTATGCTCATAATCAACACCCGCCATTCGCCACTGAGTGACATCACTATACCTCTTGTATCAGACGAGGTGCACTTAGTGACCACATGAAGTGTCTAAGGTATGCTGATAAGAAGTCACAGGTCAGACCCAGGCGTCATGGGTTTCAAATTTACGTCGGATAAACTTGAACCTAAAACACAATGGGTCTGCCTGACATGACTGGCCCATGCACCGCGTGTGCTGCCGGATGCGCCACCTTTCATCCGCCCACTCCTCTGCTCGTTGCGAGCATCGCTACTCGGACGTAACGCAACCCCGCACACAACGCCACCACGAGCCAAAACCTAACGTATAACGCCGTGACAGTGCGGCTCGTGCTGCTCATGAGGACCTCCCAGGAGGCTGCAGCCCCTTTTTAGAATACACCACCCAAGCTTAGATGTGGCCCCAAATAACTGGAACACGACCTGACCTCCGAAGCCTTCAAGCTCACACCTAACCCTGTACACCTGTGCGTGCGTGTGCTCTCGTGCGTGCGTCTGTGCGTGCAGGAGCCTGGCCCGTTCTCATCGACGACTTTGTAGAGTACGCGCGGCCCGTGGTCTCAAAACCGCGGCGTACCATGTTTTGAGTTTTGGCGTAAAATGACAGCCCTCTTCTGGCGAAGAGTCGGATAGCCGAGAGAAAGAGTGGGGTGGTGGGGGGGGGGGGAACAGGAGAATTTGTTTTACGTCTGTTTTTAAATTACAGCACAAAACACAAAAAAAAGAGAGAATTGTATTTCATAAAATATCAAGAATTGCCAATATTGTGTGCATATGATAATTAAAAAACAGAGATAGTTTAGTTTCTACCAAGAGTCTAACAACGACGAGGGGGGGGAGGGGTGGTTTTGGGGCGGCGTTGGACCGAGAGTTGGTTTTGAATTTGCGCATAACGCGCGTGGCCCTCGTGCCGGGACCGCGAGCACGAGGATCGAGCTGGGCCGCCGGCGCCTACGGCTCACCCGGCCGGAGGCTCGCCATCCCCCAGATCACCGCTGCCGCTAGGGACAAGCAGCTCCCACACAAAAAAAGCTCTATCGTTTATTTCAAGGCGACGTTGAAAATCGCCCGCCAATGTATCGATCGCGAGTTACTTTTTTTTTGTTTTTGCCATGGATGAAATAGCCCGATATTCGAGTTTGTTTTAAAGAAATCGTCCGAGAGATAAATCATGTTACCCCGCGAGATTCGTGTTGTCGCAATCGAGGTTCGCCTGCCTGGCGAAATCTAACGTCGAAAAGTGCGGGTAAATCACGAGTTGGAAACAAACGCTTCACTGGACGTCCGGAGACTTAGGGCCGCGACACCGCCCGGCGCCGTGGCGAACATCTCGTGGGACGACCCTTGCCTCCGATAACGACCTTTGGAGTCGAATCCATCTTCCAGGGTCCAACTGTGAAAGCCGTAACGCTCGTGCGACAAGAGGCCCTCCAAACGAGCGGAGAGTTGCAGCGCGTTCTCCACGATACGATCAGTCGTTTAAGCTTGAGCCGGTTTTACCTGCGGCGGGATGAACTTCTCGCGAGCACGTGCAGCCGCCATCCTTTTTGCTGTCCCCCCCCCCGTTCGCCACGTAAATGCGGCAGGGTCGTGGGGTCGTTCTGACCCGAGCTCCCACCCACGCCCGTCCACCTTCTCATTTCATCTTCCACGCTGTCGCAAGCGTCCATCCGCCCTCCTCGCCCCTGGCAGTGACACGTGTGTGCGCGTGGTCTCCCGCTTCGCGACATCGGCCGCACGGACCGGGCCAGACATTCGGGATTTGCTCTGTGCGTCCGCGCTGCTTCGAGGGGGTGCGAGAGCGATCGTCTCGGACTGCAGCGCGAGGTGGAGCGGCTCGGCTCGGCTCGGCTGCGAACCCGGGAGGGTAAACGAGACTCTGTCCCGTGAATTCTTCGACAGAGAGAAAGCGCACTGATTGCAGTTGCTCACTTAGGCCGAAGTCTTGTCGCCGTGGCACAGATCCGTTGACCGTTTGTATTTCAAAGCTCGTTTGAATTCCCTTATTAAACAACAACAGAGAAGGCGACCGTTGCCAGGACCGCCGAGAGGTTCCTGGAGGCCCGGGTAGAATGCCACGTCGGGGGAGCCAGCCCCCTTGTTGGTTGGCGTGAACGAAAGAGGCCCGTTGTGGGGCCTTCTTTGGTGCGAGGCCCGGGGGAACGTCGCCCCATTTGCCCGCCCCTCCTCCTCTAGGCTGGGCCTCCCTGACGATATCAACCAACGTTTAAGTGGCGGTGCTCGAGAGGGGCGGGAGCAATTCAATGGCCAATTCTCCACCAATCGTGAAGCCTGCGGTGTGCGAGACATTTACATTGGGTTGACATTGCGTGTATATACATTAACTTAACAGACAAACAAACGAAAAAAACTGTTCGCAAAAAAATGCTTGTGGCAACAAAGATGACTGCTGTGTGAAGATGATGTACAGTTTGTGGAGTGAGATGACCGATTATGTAAATGGATCTTACGGGAGCCAAGTGTCTGGGACAGCACTGGCGTCGCGGGGAGCGGTGTACGACGTGCCGGCGTGGCGAGGGATTGGCGGCGCAAGGGGCTTACTCTGTGCACTTTCCATTAAAGAGTGTTGCGAACCTGTGAGGAGCCATCGCTGAGCACTCGCCTGCACATCGGGGTCAGTCCATGAGTCCAGGCCAGAGATTTGTATCCCTCGCGAGGCTGCGAGGTGCCCCAGGGCATTGCAGCACAATAATGGATTCAATCCACAGATGGGATCCAGTGCTTTGCGTCTGCCTGTGGATTGAATATAATGTGCGGGAGCTCTGACATTTCACGTCCCTTGTTATGCGTGGTTTCCACCAGGTACTCCCGATTTCCTCCCGCATACCGCTCGCAAATGGAATTGGCCAAATTTCCAAACGCAGGACCATCCTGAAAACGTCTTTGAGACCTTCATTAGCAATTCAAGGGCATTATTATTGGCCCTGCAGGCCCCTATGACAACCTGTTTGTGAATGGTAGTAACCCATCCAAGCACTGTGCAGGCTGAACTCTGCTTAACGTCCAAGATCTCGCAAAGATTGGGTTGCATTCTGCATTGCGGAATCACGCAGTGGGCGTTGCGGCAAATCACGAGTTGTACTGTCCCTCTATGCAGCACACCTTCACCAACCCCCGTTGACAAACGTGGTGAAGGTCAAATAACTCGCATGACGTGCACGGCATGGGGAGGGCCTCATCCAGCAGTGGATCTACTCACAAAACGGGCTGTACCGCTACCTGCATCACTACCGGTGCCACCATAATTTCTAAAAAAAAAAAACCTGCATTTGTTTCCGTGCGCAAAGTAAACCTGATGAAAGGCACGTTTTGGAAAGTTACATCGCGTTGATATTTCTTCGCCAAGGCACGCTGATGGAGTTCCACCGACGCGCGGGTCGACCCCGCGGCGGTACCAAGTCCAGCATTGGCTCTGGCCCGTGGACTTTCGTCGGCAGGAGGGAGGGCACCGAGCCGCACTCGTCGGGCTCGCCGCGCTCCGTCTTGACCACGCGGAAACGCGGCTCTGCCGCCCCTTAACCCCCCCCCCGTCACCTGTGGGCCTGTTGCCTACCAAACATCGGAGTGAGGACTTCCCACTTGCATTTGTGCAAAGGGTAAACACCACCGAAGGCATTTCGTGGTGGTGGTGGGGGGGGGGGGGATGGGCTTCGCGCCAGATCCGAAAGTCCTTTAATATCGTCATTTGTATTGATTTGTCATCGCAGCTTCGGTGCGATGACCGCGAACATCACTGTCATTGTAATTGACCCCATGTCTGGCGAGCGTGGCCCAGCACTTGCAAACAGCTGTATTTATAGCTCAGCCTCGACTTAGATTCTTGGTGGCCCGGACGCACGGGAGGTGGCTTTGTTCACCGAGTGTACAGTCGTAACAACGCGTCCATTGATTAATAATAATTTTAAAAAATCCGTTTTTGTGCCCGCGATGCGGTGCGTCGCCCGCGATGCGGTGCGTCGCGTCGCCCGCATGGGAATCGACTTAATCAAATGTACGTGAATTGTGCACAAGCTCTCATTTGGGCTACCCATGACGCGCAACAACAACAACAACAACAAAAATGTGCACCGCCGTGTCGGAGACACATCCGAGACTAGAAATGAGCGAGCGTGAATCGCACAACTCGCGTCGTTGGCGATTTGAAGGCGTTAACCATTGCATCGCACGCCCGATAGGCAAGTGGTGGTGCGTTCAAATGCGACACCTGCAGAGTAGTGCGTGAATTGATTGTGCGTGAATTGATTTTAAGTTCGTGTGCATTTAATGTAACGGCTCCTTGACCCCTGCGACAACGAGAGATGCTACTTTTGCCACGGTTAAAAATAATCGATCCTTGAATCGAATCGCGACACCCCCACCACCCCCTACCCCACCCACCTCGTCGTGACAATCCATTGAATCCACAAAAGTGTTCACCGCGATGCGCCGAGGAGCAGTCGCACGTGAAACTGGGTGAAACTAGCGCAACGGTCGTGGTTGTTTCTTCGACTCCGGGTCCCCGGCTTCACTTTGACGTGAAAATAACCGCCACGCCGCAGCTGCCAGGGAAAAATAATCCGATAGAATACGCGAGAGAACATGTACATATCTACACGCACACACACACGCACGCGTGAGTGAACGTTTTAAATTGGGTCACTTGCAAAGGTCATCCGAGCCACCGCACCACTAATTCTGAAGGCCCATTGTGGGATGAATGTTGCAGTTTGGTAGCAGCTGATCTGAAGGTATCCCATGCAAACCTAAAGATACCCCGCGAGATGAGATTACTCGTGCACAGGGGAAAGCAAGGCTAATGGGATTTGTGATAACGTCTGCATTTTGTTCGTCTCCATCGGGAAATAAATGTTGGTTGCATTGCATTTCACTTCTTACGAGGCCACTCCCAAAAATCCCAACGCTGGCTATGAGTAAATTAAATCATGGATGTCCACCAAAACATATGAATCTGATAGCAATAACAAATGCAATTGAACACAGTTGAAGATTCTGATGAAATTGCTTCCAAAATACAAATGTGTTCATTTGCGATTTGTGGAATTCCATCGAGGGAAAGGGCCCTGGTTCTCCAGGACGATGCTGAACTCTCTGGCAGTCATAACCACGCGTTGGGATGTTCTGTTTGCTGCAGCCCCGCTTCTCACTCCGGGACGGATGCGGATTTAATATTGGGGGCTGTTTCTGGGTGACGCACAGCACCAAATTAGTGCGAAATCCAAATTTTCACCTTTATCAGAAGCAGCGATTAAGAACATTTCTGGAATTTGAGTGGTGCCCGAACCTGGATTTTTGACCAGGAGTTTTATGGCTCAGCAGTTAGGGGTGGGTTGGCGAGGGCTTCTCTCTGGAGGTGCCAAACAGATGTGGGCATGGGATCTGCAGGGCATGAAAGAGCAATTTGGCTTGGTCTGGTCCGGTCTGCGTTTTACACATTTTCACCCCCCCCCCACTCACAGGAGCCAACTTTCCACTGCACCGTGGACGTGTGGGAGTCACGGCGTGAAAGGCTTTGGGATATTGTCGCGTATTTTATAGAGAAACCGGCGTTTCGGGAACAACCTGCACGCCCCACGTGTGTCGAGGCCGCCGCCCTCGCTCTGCAGACTGCGCGAGGCCGAGGGAGCACGGAGGCCCCTTGTGCGTTCCCCGCGTTTTCTAACAGCGGACGGAGGAGGAACACGGCGAAGGCGGCGTCGCGCAGTAGTAACGGCTGCCCTGCGGATAATGACCCGATGTCAAGTGTGTGTGTGGAATTATACGAAACACTGACCCATGTATTTATATATAAAAAAGGCTCAATTGAAGTCAGTGTTGCTGTCGATGTCTCTTTTTGTTGTTGTGACGTGAGAATGAAGAATTAGTCCTTGATGTAACGTCCGCATAGTTTAACGATCATTACCTACGAAAATCACCCAGAAATGTCTGTCCGTCCCGCGCGTGACGTCACTCCACATGAGGCTCACCCCTGCGTGACGTCACTCCGCATGAGGCCCACCCCCCTCATTAATATTCATGAGTGGGTGGATTTTTGCACTAACGCAGAGGAAGGTCGAGCTGAATTCAATAATTTATTACGCAAAGTCGCTTCAAATATGACGTTTCTTTACAGAAAGTGACGATCAAAAATAAATATACACAGCACAGTGCTACATCCGTGCGTGACGTCACTGCAAGTGGAAATTCACACGAACGCACAAGAAGGTCGCGCATTCCACATGCCGCACCTCTCCACTCATGAATAATCAGGAGCTGAACAGTTTATTGAATATTCCAGATTTACTGCAATATACACCCGTCCTTGGACGGGCAAAAAAGCCAGTGCCGGTATAGTTACCCAATCAATACAGCCTACCCGAGTTACCAAGACTTTGTTTGGAGTGTCCTGCTACACTGGGATGTTTGACCAAGTCCATTAATGACCAATTTGGCTTCACGTGGGAGGAAAAACACCAAACAAATGGGAGAAACAAAATCCTGCCATCTCCTGGCCACATCACAGCCCCCATGCATACAACACACGGCAAGCCTCGATGGTCACCCATTCAAGTAAGAGCCAGGCTTGCGCTTGCTTAGCTTGTGAGATCTGATGAGATTTGGTGGATAACCTACGAGGATCATGGCTTAGCGCACTGCACTACGAAACCCAGCGACCCGAGTCCCAATCTTCACAGCCAAGACCTAGCGGAGAGTAATATAGGAAGTAGTCCTTGGTGTCACCTTCACCAATCGACACTGACCGGCATGGTGAAGTATGGTCAAACAATCCCTACGACCGACACAACGTGGGGAGCCCTTCATGCACGAGTGGAGCGACAAATTGCCGGACGATATTGCTATCAAACTATGTGTGCGCACGCAAAACATTGGGCACGTGGCCCTGACACTCCTACAACACTGGCACAGCGACATCACCGAGCTAAATCAGAACCCCGGCATTTCTGGGCCAACGCTGCTGGGCTCGCGGAGGCCCCAGACTGCACGGCAGCACTCGTGACGGACAGCCCCCTCCACTCGAGATAGCTCCTTCACAAACACCTCCGCCCAGGCTGGGGGCCCGCGTGTGTCGGGGGACGAGACGTCCGACACCCCTTGTGCGCCGCGGGGGGGGTCACGGGGAGGTGGAGAAGGGGACTGGTGATCGCTCTCTCCACCTGTTGACCGATTATAATTGGCATGGGCAGGGTAGACGCTCTGAGAAACACAAACCATGCCTCCGTCTCGCTGTGTCCTCTCCCTGTCGGCCTTGTTGGGGAGACTGCCCCCCCCCGCCTCCCCGTTCTCCTGTGACCCCCCCCCCCGTTCTCCGACTCTCCCCCCCCTCGCGGCTGCCCCTCGTGACATGATTTAAATGTCTATACTAACCACTTTACAAATACACCGCTGTGCCCTTCTCGTACCCGCCAACCACGAGCCGCGCAGTGGCGAGAGTGCCCACGTGGGCAGAATGCACGGGACGCCACAACACGTGGGCTCACAAGTCCACGTGCATGGCGAACGCGCGGGCAGAACACACGCTCGTGCGCAAAACAAGAAACCACAGCGCGCAGGCTCACCACACCCCGCACCCCTGTCCGTACTCGCAGAGACAACACGACACGGTTTAATGTCTACTGGCGATTTATTCTCTGTTTAATTAGGAGTTAGTCTACCCGTGTTAGTGTGGACCAGCAGGGCAGATCGAACCTATCTCTCTACGGTCTAATACTCCAGTAAGCTGTCCTCTCTCTACTCACTCTCTCTATTAGAATTTCCCCCTTTGCCTTACCTCTCCTCTTCGTACTTACGATCCGACCTCGTGGTATTGGAAGTCGCGGAAAGACGATGCTGCATGTGGCTTTTGCTGGGAGCTGGATCTGGCTGCCCTGCGACCCGTCTCACGGACGTTCGAGTAGCAGGGGACGATCACACCTCGGCCCCTTACTCCACAAGACCCCAGGCAAAAGAGAGAGAGCGTTACATCTTCAGGGGCTGGTCAACGTGCTCTTCGGCTACGCCAAGCTCGCCATATACAGGGCGAGGAAGGTGGCCCTGGAGGGGCAACGTCCAGCCAGCAGCATGGGCATCTTCCGCGCTCTGGTCGGAGCCAGGGTGTGTGGGCCGGAGTTCCGCCACGCGCGGCTGACCCACGCCGTGCCGGCCTTCAAGGAGCAGTGGGCGCTGGAGGAGGCCGCGTGCTCGGTGACAGATGATGAAGAGCTCTGTGCATGCAGATCTAAGCTACCCGTCGGAGGCCGTTTGACTGTGGGAAGGGCTGCGTGCAGGTGCAGCACTTGTCGTAGTTATAAAGAAAAGAGAGCGAGAGAGTGAGCGAGAGAGAGAGAGAGCGAAATGGAGTAGGAAGAGAGGGGGCAGAGAGATAGGGGGGGCAGAGAGGGGGGTAGAGAGAGAGGAGGGGCAGAGAGGGGGGTAGAGAGAGAGGGAAGGGGTAAGGAGAGCAAAAAAAAAAGAAAAAAATATTTTGTTGGGTCTTTCATTTAAAAGGGGGGGGGGGGGTTACATAAAGCAAAGCATAAAAAAACCGAAATGATGAACGGAGCAAAGTGCCGACTACACCGAGCATCTTCTTGTTTCCTCTGATCGTAAAAAGAGAGAGAGAGCTTCCCAATGTCATCCCTTTTTATGCTCCTACTTCAAAGCCCACGCGCCGCCGATCTCATCCAATCAGGAGCCTCCTCTCCGACGCCCCGCCCCCCCATTGTTTAGCTAAGTGCACCTCCGCCGCATCATCGGGATCAACCTGTGCCGCCCCGCCCCCCACCTGCCTGCTGGTCCGCGTGTGCCCTTGGCTGTTTCCTCACTGCGGTTCTCAGTGAGTTCGCCGTGCAACTTTAAGTCAATCCACGGCGCCGCAGTGCCGTTCGCCCTGGCCCTGAGAAACCGTGGAGCACCCCCACGAGGGGGGCCCTCGGGTGAAAGCTCAGGGGCAGGTGACCCCCCCCCCCCCCCACAAGGCCCTACGTGAGTGCACGTGTGCGTGTGATCACGTGGAGGGTGGTGGGCGAAACGTCGTGACGGCAGCCTGCTGGCTTCTCTGTCGCAGCAGCCCCGTTGCAGGCACGGCTCCCACGGAGCGGCTTCGTTGTCGTGGCCCCGCAGCCTCTAGAGTCTAGAGTCTATCCCGTCTTTCTCACAATCCCTTGACGTCTCCACGTCGGTCTCGGGGTCCGTCATTGTTTTCTCGGCTCTCTCAATCTGCGCGTCTCTCTGCTTTGTATCCGTCTGTCTCTCTGTCGCTGGGTCCCGCCCTCCCCATCTACAATGGGGACTGTCCTCGTTTCTCTGGGTCCCCTTTATGCATCTCCGTCTGCTGTACCCAAGACATTCACTCTGCGTCCACGTGGCGCTTCCCGCGGACAAAACGTTACCAAGTCAAGCTGGGGCCAGCGTAATGCCCTGGGCATCTGTGCCCCACATTTGCACCGAATTCGACTGACACGGGGCACCGCCTCTGTGAGAGTAACACTGCACCCCACGGCCCGGGGGAGGCCAAGGAGAGTGGCGGTCAGGGGGACAGGGGATAATTTTCTTCTGTTGCTACAGCTGCTCGTTGGGCACGCGCGCCATGACCACCGCGTGCTGGTCAACGGAACCGATTTCAGCCGTAGGCTGCCCACGTGTTTAACCATTTTACACAAACAAACACACACACGCCGACTTTCTCAACGTTTCTATGCAGCTGTACGGCAAGCTTTGAAAATGAGTGGGGTTGACAAGTATGCCACTGTGTTTACATCTTCTGCTGACAGTGAATGATGAACTTGGGGAGGGGGGGGGGGGGTGTGGACTCGGGGCAGCATGAAGTCATCCAGGAGCCTGCACCAAAACTAAAACTAACACCACCAACACTAACCCCACCAACACTAACCCTACCAACACTAACCCTACCAACACTAACCCTACCAACACTAAACACTAACCCCACCAACACTAACCCCACCAACACTAACCCCACCAAAACTAACCCCACCAACACTAACCCCACCAACACTAACCCCACCAACACTAACCTCACCAACACTAACCCTACCAACACTAACCCCACTAACACTCACCCCACTAAAACGAACCACACCAACACTAACCCCACTAACATTAACCCCACCAAAACTAACCCCACTAACACTAACCCCACCAACACTAACCCCACCAACACTAACCCCACCAACACTAACCTCACCAACACTAACCCCACTAACACCAACCCCACCAACACTAACCCCACCAACACTAACCCCACCAACACTAACCCCACTAACACTAACCCCACCAAAACTAACCCCACTAACACTAACCCCACCAACACTAACCCCACCAACACTAACCCCACCAACACTAACCCAACCAACACTAACCCCACCAAAACTAACCGCACTAACACTAACCCCACCAACACTAACCCCACCAACACTAACCCCACCAACACTAACCCCACCAACACTAACCCCACCAAAACTAACCCTACCAACACAAACCCCACCAACACTAACCCCACCAAAACTAACCCCACCAAAACTCACCCCACCAAAACTAACCCCACCAACACTAACCCCACCAAAACTAACCCCACCAAAACTAACCCCACCAACACTAACCCCACCAAAACGAACCCCACCAACACTAACCCCACCAACACTAACCCCACCAACACTAACCCCACCAACACTAACCCCACTAAAACTAACCCCACCAACACTAACCCCACCAACACTAACCCCACCAATACTAACCCCACTAACACTAACCCCACCAAAACTAACCCCACCAACACTAACCCCACCAACACTAACCCCACCAACACTAACCCCACCAAAACCAACCCCACCAAAACTAACCCCACTAACACTAACCCCACCAACACTAACCCCACCAACACTAACCCCACCAACACTAACCCCACCAACACTAACCCTACTAACACTAACCCCACCAAAACTAACCCCACCAACACTAACCCCACCAACACTAACCCCACCAACACTAACCCCACCAAAACCAACCCCACCAAAACTAACCCCACTAACACTCACCCCACCAACACTAACCCCACCAATACTAACCCCACCAACACTAACCCCACCAACACTAACCCCACCAACACTAACCCCACCAAAACTAACCCCACCAAAACTAACCCCACCAACACTAACCCCACCAAAACTAACCCCACCAACACTAACCCCACCAAAACTAACCCCACCAATACTAACCCCACCAAAAGTAACCCCACCAAAACTCACCCCACCAACACTAACCCCACCATCACTAACCCCACCAAAACTAACCCCAACAAAACTAACCCCACCAAAACTAACCCCATCAACACTAACCCCACTAACACTAACCCCACTAACACTAACCCCATCAACACTAACCCCACTAACACTAACCCCACCAATACTAACCCCACTAAAACTAACCCCACTAAAACTAACCCCACTAATACTAACCCCACTAACACTAACCCCACGAATACTAACCCCACGAACACTAACCCCATCAACACTAACCCCACTAACACTAACCCCAATAACACTCACCCCACCAACACTAACCCCACTAACACCAACCCCACCAACACTAACCCCACCAACACTAACCCCACCAACACTAACCCCACTAACACTAATCCCACGAATACTAACCCCACGAACACTAACCCCACCAACACTAACCCCACTAACACTAACCCCACTAATACTAACCCCACTAAAACTAACCCCACTAAAACTAACCCCACTGAAACTAACCCCACCAACACTAACCCCACTAACACTAACCCCACGAATACTAACCCCACGAACACTAACCCCATCAACACTAACCCCACTAACACTAACCCCACTAACACTCACCCCACCAACACTAACCCACTAACACTAACCCCACCAACACTAACCCCACCAACACTAACCCCACCAACACTAACCCCACTAAAACTAACCCCACTAAAACTAACCCCACTAAAACTAACCCACTAACACTAACCCCACTAACACTAATCCCACCAACACTAACCCCACCAAAACTAAAACTAACACCACCAACACTAACCCCACCAACACTAACCCCACCAACACTAACTCCACTAACACTAACCCCACGAATACTAACCCCACGAACACTAACCCCATCAACACTAACCCCACTAACACTAACCCCACTAACACTAACCCCACCAACACTAACCCCACCAACACTAACCCCACCAACACTAACCCCACTAAAACTAACCTCACTAAAACTAACCCCACTAAAACTAACCCACTAACACTAACCCCACTAACACTAATCCACCAACACTAACCCCACCAATACTAACACTAACCCCACTAAAACTAACCCCACTAAAACTAACCCCACTAACATTAACTCCACCAACACTAACCCCACTAACACTCACCCCACTAAAACTAACCCCATCAAAACTAACCCCACCAACACTAACCCCACTAACACTAACCCCACCAACACTAACCCCACCAACACTAACCCCACTAAAACTAACCCCACTAAAACTAACCCCACTAAAACTAACCCCACTAACACTAACCCCACTAACACTAATCCCACCAACACTAACCCCACCAATGCTAACCCCACTAAAACTAACCCCACTAAAACTAACCCCACTAAAACTAACCCCACTAACATTAACCCCACCAACACTAACCCCACTAACACTAACCCCACTAAAACTAACCCCACTAACATTAACCCCACCAACACTAACCCCACTAACACTAACCCCACTAAAACTAACCCCACTAACACTAACCCTACCAACACTAACCCCACCAACACTAACCCCACCAACACTAACCCCACCAACACTAACCCCACTAAAACTAACCCCACCAACACTAACCCCACCAACACTAACCCCACCAATACTAACCCCACTAACACTAACCCCACCAAAACTAACCCCACCAACACTAACCCCACCAACACTAACCCCACCAACACTAACCCCACCAAAACCAACCCCACCAAAACTAACCCCACTAACACTAACCCCACCAACACTAACCCCACCAACACTAACCCCACCAACACTAACCCCACCAATACTAACCCTACTAACACTAACCCCACCAAAACTAACCCCACCAACACTAACCCCACCAACACTAACCCCACCAACACTAACCCCACCAAAACCAACCCCACCAAAACTAACCCCACTAACACTCACCCCACCAACACTAACCCCACCAACACTAACCCCACCAACACTAACCCCACCAACACTAACCCCACCAACACTAACCCCACCAAAACTAACCCCACCAAAACTAACCCCACCAACACTAACCCCACCAAAACTAACCCCATCAACACTAACCCCACCAAAACTAACCCCACCAATACTAACCCCACCAAAAGTAACCCCACCAAAACTCACCCCACCAACACTAACCCCACCATCACTAACCCCACCAAAACTAACCCCAACAAAACTAACCCCACCAAAACTAACCCCATCAACACTAACCCCACTAACACTAACCCCACTAACACTAACCCCATCAACACTAACCCCACTAACACTAACCCCACCAATACTAACCCCACTAAAACTAACCCCACTAAAACTAACCCCACTAATACTAACCCCACTAACACTAACCCCACGAATACTAACCCCACGAACACTAACCCCATCAACACTAACCCCACTAACACTAACCCCAATAACACTCACCCCACCAACACTAACCCCACTAACACCAACCCCACCAACACTAACCCCACCAACACTAACCCCACCAACACTAACCCCACTAACACTAATCCCACGAATACTAACCCCACGAACACTAACCCCACCAACACTAACCCCACTAACACTAACCCCACTAATACTAACCCCACTAAAACTAACCCCACTAAAACTAACCCCACTGAAACTAACCCCACCAACACTAACCCCACTAACACTAACCCCACGAATACTAACCCCACGAACACTAACCCCATCAACACTAACCCCACTAACACTAACCCCACTAACACTCACCCCACCAACACTAACCCACTAACACTAACCCCACCAACACTAACCCCACCAACACTAACCCCACCAACACTAACCCCACTAAAACTAACCCCACTAAAACTAACCCCACTAAAACTAACCCACTAACACTAACCCCACTAACACTAATCCCACCAACACTAACCCCACCAAAACTAAAACTAACACCACCAACACTAACCCCACCAACACTAACCCCACCAACACTAACTCCACTAACACTAACCCCACGAATACTAACCCCACGAACACTAACCCCATCAACACTAACCCCACTAACACTAACCCCACTAACACTAACCCCACCAACACTAACCCCACCAACACTAACCCCACCAACACTAACCCCACTAAAACTAACCTCACTAAAACTAACCCCACTAAAACTAACCCACTAACACTAACCCCACTAACACTAATCCACCAACACTAACCCCACCAATACTAACACTAACCCCACTAAAACTAACCCCACTAAAACTAACCCCACTAACATTAACTCCACCAACACTAACCCCACTAACACTCACCCCACTAAAACTAACCCCATCAAAACTAACCCCACCAACACTAACCCCACTAACACTAACCCCACCAACACTAACCCCACCAACACTAACCCCACTAAAACTAACCCCACTAAAACTAACCCCACTAACACTAACCCCACTAACACTAATCCCACCAACACTAACCCCACCAATGCTAACCCCACTAAAACTAACCCCACTAAAACTAACCCCACTAAAACTAACCCCACTAACATTAACCCCACCAACACTAACCCCACTAACACTAACCCCACTAAAACTAACCCCACTAACATTAACCCCACCAACACTAACCCCACTAACACTAACCCCACTAAAACTAACCCCACTAACACTAACCCTACCAACACTAACCCCACTATCATTAACCCCACCAACACTAACCCTACCAACACTAACCCCACTAAAACTAACCCCACTAACACTAACTCTACCAACACTAACCCCACTAACACGAACCCCACCAAAACTAACCCCACCAAAACTAACCCCACCAAAACTAACCCCACTAACACTAACCCCACCACAACTAACCCCACCAAAACTAACCCCACTAACACTAACCCCACCACAACTAACCCTACCAAAACTAACCCCACCAAAACTAACCCCACCAAAACTAACCCCACCAAAACTAACCCCACTAAAACTAACCCCACCAAAACTTACCCCACCAAAACTAACCCCACCAAAACTAACCCCACCAAAACTAACCCCACTAACACTAACCCCACCAACACTGACCCCACCAACACTAACCCCACCAAAACTAACCCCACCAGAACTAACCCTACCAACACTAACCCCACCAAAACTAACCCCACCAAAACTAACCCCCCACCGGGACAAGGGTGGGTCGGGGGGGGGCGAGTATCCATACCGGGCCCCTTCCGAGTGAGCGAGCGAGTGAGAGTGGTGGCGAGAGACGCACACAACACTGAGGACGTTTGTCAGAATGTAATTAAAGCCGCCCTGATGAGTGCCACCCTGATCCCCACCCACCCCACCCGCTCCGCTCCCCAATTGCGCGGCTATTTTAATCCGGCTCCGCTCCGCTCTACGCCCTGCCTTGTGAACGCGCGGAGCAGGCGTCCCTCCCACGCCGCTCCACCCCCACCCCCCCTTGTCTTCCGAGCCTTCACGAGAGTCTCCCGATAAGGGATGCACCGCCTGCTCCTGGCAAACCCCTGGAGCACGTCGTCGTCTCGGCAGCACGTCCAGACGCAGCCTCCCTCCGTCCGTTCCTCCTGCGCGTGCGACTCGCTCTCGGCCCTTTCACCCCGCGTCCTCGCCCTGCTCGGCTCCTCCACCCGACCCCGGCTCCATGGAGCGCTACCAGGCGGCGATGGTGCTGGGAGGCGTGGGCGACGCGCTCGGCTACCGCAAGTTCTCGTGGGAGCACTCGCTGTCGGGAGACGAGATCCAGCGGGAGCTGCTCGAGCTGGGCGGCCTCTCTGCGCTTGTGCTCACGCCCGAATCGTGGCCCGTGAGCGACGACACCGTGATGCACATGGCCACGGCTAAAGCGCTCATCTCGTGTGAGTGGCACCGCGCTGCTGCTGATGCTGGTGGTGGTTGCGATGGTGCTGGTGCGGTTTGCCAGTGGTGGTTTTGGCGGCGGCGGCGGCGGTTGTGGCGGTTGTTGTGGCGGTGGGTTAGGGGGTCATCATGATGTGCACCAGGTTGTTTACATTTCCTTTGCACTTTATTCTAAATGAAATCCGTTCCGCCTAAAACTGTGGTTTCTCTAATAAGGCTGCCTGACGCAAAACATTCGTTAAGGAGTTTACCGTGAAAATGGCCACACAGGTTTATCTGCTTTAATAATTCCACCTTTAAAACCTTACATTTTAAGTCACGCAGCCAGACAGTGTTTGCACCAAGCGGGGTAAACCCACAATCCCAGAGGAAAATGAGGGTTTAACCACAGGCAGGTGCCTGGATTCAGACCCAGGATCACAGTGGTGCCACCTAAGGAATAAGACCTCTTAAGTTACCTGGACAATTTTGAGGAATTTTTTTATCAAAGGGGCCTTAATTTTGCAAGCAAGAGTGACCAATTTACTCATCTGCCAAGGACTGGGCAGGGCTGCATGAATTCCCTCACAATAGAACGGTTCAAGTAACCGTAGCAGCAGCAGCAGCAACAAAATCAACAGCAGTCGGAAAGTATGCAAGGGTGTGTCTGACCGCGCGTGGCAGAGTGCCTTGCTCACTACGTATCCGCACGTATTTAAGTTACCCCGCGTGGCACTGTGACAATTTTTCCATCTTCCCCGTACTTTACAAACGGCTTATCCATTTTTTTTGTTCCAATTTTTTTTGTTCCAATTTTTTTTGTTCATTGCCGGTTAAAAGTTCTCACGGTTGCGCGCTTTCATCGGAGTGGCGGATAGATTGTGGCTGCGGACGTTGCAGTCCGCGCCCGCCTCGAAACATCGAGACCATTGTGTCTCGACACGCAATCGCGTGTCCGTACACTCAACTTCCTGCGTGCAACATTCAGAAGGGCAAGCTGTGCACGAGCATGGGACCTCGTCTGAACTCCCACGAGTTAGGAAACACGGGCGAGTGTCCCCTAACCGTATGCCCCTGCAGGGACACGTCGCGAAACGCCAAGAGTAAGACGTGACCTTCAGGCGGAGATGAACTCGACTTCCCCTTGCGATACACCTTTGGGCACGCGCTTTGTTTATCATAATAACCGCACTTTGTCGGGGGCAGTGGGCGGTGCATAAAAATGCAATGTTGTGCTGTACTTCTACGCTTCCCCGTCTGTTCTCTCCGCCTTCACCGAGCCGCCACTGACCAGCGTGGGTGTGAGGTATGGTTAAATTATCTCCACGACCCTGTCGCGGCACGGGGGGGGGGGAGCCTTCATCCAGCAGTGGATTTAGAAAAGGGCTGGGCTTGTCACAGAGCCTGAAGAAAACTCTACATGCAACGTAACTGGTGTTGGCCAAACATCCTGATAATAATACAAACAATACAATAAAACCTTGGATTGCGAGTTACGTGGTCTGCGAGTGTTTTGCAAGACGAGCAATTTTTTTAAAATAAATATTAATTTGATAAACGAGCGAGGGTCTTGCAATACGAGTAGTACGTATACGTCTGCCGAGCGTCACGTGATCACAACTGATATACGAGTGCTTTGGATTACAAACACGTTTCCGGAACCAATTACGCTCGCAATCCAAGGTTTTACTGCAACTGCAAATGACTCAATTGGCATCACACACTTAGCATGCACCTTCCTGCAGAAGACTCAGCGGTCTTGCGACTCGGTGAGGCTTTTGTGAGTGAACGAGTGGAATAAGAAGAATAATAATAATGCCCGAGAATCTCGTGACCCTATAGAGGGCACTCGCTGGCCGTAAACACTCACGGAACTCTCAGACAAAGTAAACAGAAAGGCAAAATAAGAACGCGAGATGCGCAGAGCGGGCGGCGATGTGGCCCCCCCCCACGTGCACAATCCGTCTCGATCGTCGTCGTCGCCATCCGCGAGGCGGCAACGACGCCGACGGTTTACGCAACCGGGAGAACGGAAGGGCGATTGGGTAAATGGGTCGGAAAAATTACGGTGAGTGTTACAGCGGTCAGTCAACGGCAGAGGAGTAAAGGAAGGTCGTCATTATGGACCCTTGAGAGGAGAGGGAGGGAATCAACAGCGTGGGCAAATGGGGAGAAGGGAATTCCAGACCGGAGTTCAAGTTTCAAGTTGATATTGTTTCACCAGCCGAGAACTCGAGAGACGAGGATAGATTGCAAGAGTGACTCGGGTCACCAAAACAATAATGACAAAAGCAAAAGAAGACACACACACACACACAAAAAAAACCCCAAATGCAATTAATGAAACAAAATAGAAATCAGGAAAAAACAACTGCGGTAGGAGAATAGATCGGGAACATCGCGCAATGCAATGTTGCATAGAATACATTGACATTACATCAAATGGGCGGCAGAGGAGGAGGAGGAGTAATCCTCCCAAAGTTCGGAGGTTGATTTTTGGCTGCACCCAGAGGCTCAGGCTGCCTGAGCGAAGCGTGCGGACAGAGGAGAAGAGAGAAGAGAGAAGCCTCTCCAGAACAAGATCCTATTTTAAAAAAAAACTATTTCTAAGTATGACAGGGATGGAATGGTGGCACATTGGTTAGTGCACTGCGTTATGAAACCCGACGATCGAGTTCCAGTCCCGATCAGGGCTAAGTGACCGGTCCTGCCCCCCACTGAACGAACCCAAACTATCCCCACAGCACACACAGCTTGGGGTAGAGACCTTCACCATCATAGCCGGCGATGAACACTTGTGAACAAGCGACTTTTTCGCGTGGGGCATGTTGACACGGTGGGCAGCTGAAGAGAAACAGCGGGTGGAGACAGGCGAGTTTCACCCAGCAGGAATCTGTCGCGGGGTTTCCGGCTGCCCGGGGCGATGGCTCGCGATTTTAAAGGGCACCCGCCCGAGACTCGCTCACGGGAGCCGATATTTCTGGAGCTGCCCCGTGCCGCTCGGGAAGGCCTTGAGTAGCTGATGAGATTCCCTCTCCCGTGTCAGCGCCTTCCCTGCCACCCCCCCCCCCCACCCCACCTCGACACCCATTCCCCTAATTTTGCCGTAATGTGAGCATCGTTACCGTTAGCCCAGCGCCACCGTGGACGGGTTCGCAATCTTGGCTCGCCGATTGTAACGCATCGCGCTGGAAAGAGTGAGGCGCGTTCAAGAGAGACAGGTGTGAGTGCTGTGTAGTGGAGCAGAGAAGGATCTAGAAACTTCCCAAGGGGCAGTGGTGGGGGGGGGGGCGACCTGAATTTGTGGGGGCGGCGACCTGCAAGATTTTTAAATAGGCCCCAAATAGCGGAGTACTGAGTGGGGTGGAGTTGCAACTGGTATGACCGTGGTTCGCCCAAGTGGTTGTGGTCGAGTGATGCGATGGACTGTTGTCGACTACGGTTGAATGACACGATTGACTGTGGTTAAGTGACGTGGTTGACCGCGGTTGACCAACGCGGTCGACCGCGGTTGACCAACGTGGTTGACCAACGTGGTTGACCGCGGTTGACCAACGCGGTTGACCAACGTGGTTGACCAACGCGGTCGACCGCGGTTGACCAACGCGGTTGACCAACGTGGTTGACCGTGGTTGACCAACACGGTTGACCAACGTGGTTGACCAACGCGGTCAACCGTGGCCGAGCGTGACCGTGGTGCCCGCGTGCGCAGCGTACCACTCGCTGGGGGAGCTCTTCCAGGAGATGTCGCGCCAGTACGTGGCGGGGGCCGACAGGATCCTCGACCGCTGCCCGGACCCGGCCACCATCGAGGGCTGCTCGTTCCTCCGCCCCAAAAACCCGCAGCTTGCCTGGCACATCCCCTTCAACGAGAAAGGTTAGCGCAGCTGCAGGACCGCCAAGTGGACGGCGCTCGCAGGGCCCACGGCACGGGCTCGCCTCTTTCCCACTGCGCAAACCGAGCTGCGCCAGGGCCGTGCAGAGCAGGCCCTGGGGCGGCTCAGCAGGCGCCACACTGGTTTTTCCACTGCCGAAGGCGAGCCGTACCGCTGACGTCACACACGATGAACGAGTTGACGTGTAGGTGACGGACGCTGCGGCGCTGTGCCCTCAAAGAGTATCGACCGACATTACACGCTCCGACCCTGTCATAGGCTCGCCCCTGGCCCTATTTGGCCCCGAGCCAGAACAAGGAATCACTTGGCTTCTGGCTCAGCTTGGCAAAATGGCCAACCGTCCACGCCGTGACGTGCCCCACACTGGCTCGGCTCGGATGTGCCAGCGGGAAAAAAGGGTTCCCGCGTAAACGCCCACCGGTGTCGCCACGCGCGCGTGTCCAGGCACGGGCTTCGGAGCGGCCACCAAGGCCATGTGCATCGGCCTTCGCTTCCCGCGCCCCGAGCAGGAGGAGACTCTGGTGGAGGTCAGCATCGAGTGCGGCCGCATGACCCACAACCACCCCACGGGTAAAGGCACCTGTCCGACACGGCCGAGCGGCGGCGCAGTTTTCCGCCTGTCGCCAAAGTTCGCGGTGCGAGCCCAGCGCGCGTCCCGGCGCTCGTGCGTGCGTGCGCGCGTGCAGGATTCCTGGGCTCGCTGTGCACGGCGCTCTTCGCCTCGTACGCCGTGCAAGGGAAGCCGCTGGCGCGCTGGGGGCGCGACATGCTTGCCACCGTGCCGCTGGCGGAGGAGTACTGCCGCAGGAAGGTGCGCCACATGTCAGGTAAAGTGCCGGCGAGCGGGGTGTTGCGTCGCCACCAACGCCGGCGTGCCCGTGGTGCCCATGAATGCTTATGGTCGAGATGAATGACGTGCGCAGGAACGTGGGCATGCACGAGGATTTGTCAATGCACTGCTGGACGAGGGCTTTCTCACGCCGTGCGGCTTGTGGGGGTGATTTGACCGTACGTCACTACGCTGGTCAGCCCTGCTGTGTACATCACGCAAGACCAAACATGCAGTGCTTGTGATATGAATATTTCCGAATGAAAGTGCATGGGAAAAAAAAACACACAGCTCCTGTATTTAAAATAATTTGATGATTATTTAGAATGTAAGTAAATCATATGCGTGAGTGGCTAGCGCACGGGGGTGCAAGCGGCTAACGGTGGTGAGCAATATCTGAAACCGTTCCGGGACCTCTTTACCTACCTGCGCTAAGCAACCCCAACAACGGCGAACACTGCGGTTGTGTGATGGGCGGGCGGGGGGGGGCTTTATCCAGCAGTGGATTGACATCGGGCTGTAAGTGTTCACGTGCGTTTCTCGTTGTCGTTCGTTCGGGCGAACCGGCGCTGCTGGCGCTGCAGAGTACCACGAGAACTGGTTCTACTTTGAGACCAAGTGGCTATCGTACCTGGAGGAGCGCGGCATCGCCGCGGAGGGGGAGGACTCGCCGCATTTCCCCAGCAACTACGACACGCACGCTCGCGACCAGGTACCACGTGGCCGAGAATCAAACACCGATGGCACCGCCGGGTGTGGCACCGGCAGAACTCAGCACCGGTGCCAATGCGCCCAGAGACAGTGCCGCTCTCACGCCACCGACATTGGCCGTGGGAGCGCTGTGTGTCGACCGCTCTGTCGCCATTCCGCCCTGCGAATACACACAAAAACACACAAATACACACAAATACACACAAATACACACAAATACACACAAATACACACAAATGCACACAAATGCACACAAATACACACAAATACACACAAATACACACAAATACACACAAATGCACACAAATACACACAAATACACACAAATACACACAAATACACACAAATACACACAAATGCACGCGCGCGCGCGCGCCGGGTAACCCGACCCCAGGTGACCTCTCGCTGTCACCGTGCCTCCTCTGTTTTGTAACACATCTGTGGGGGTGTTGACGCTGCCAGCCGATGCCCCCAGGGCCAGACGAAATGTGGCCCCTACCCTCTCCGTCACATGAGCGATGATCAATAATAATAATAATGGTGGCATTGTGACAAGTTTTTATTCAACAACGATGTAGGGCATCGCGTTCGCCGCAGCTCTCTGAATTGCAGCGAATTATAATTGTCATTTACGTACGAATATATTTCACCTGGAAACTCCCTTGGGATGGAACCTCGTTTGTATTTGTACACCTCCAGTCAACCTGCACGGTTGACTGGAGTGCATCAATTTCATCACCATTGTTTTAATGGCAGCAAACTGTGGACCAGTTTCAACATTCGGTGTCTCATCAGCGGTCAGGCTTGTTTCAACCAAATGACATGACGCAAAATAGTTAAAAGAATACAACATCAACGAGGACACGATTACATCACTTTCACACATCTGTCCCTTCAACATGACGAGCGATTCGGTTGCACACAACCAGGTTGCGCGCGACCTGGTTGCCCGTGACCTGGTTGCCCGTGACCTGGTTGCCCGTGACCTGGTTGCCCGCGACCTGGTTGCCCGCGACCAGGTCACGCACAACCGTTCCCTCAGGTGTGGATCCCACTTTACTGAGGGGCAACTTGGGACTTGCAAATTAAATTTGGCAGGAGGGAAAAAAAACACACGTTACAGAATACACATGAACACTTAACAAAACACACATGTAAACACGTGTTACAAAACACAAACATTAACACACGTTACAAAGCACACATGAACACGCGTTACAAAGCACACACGAACACGCGTTACAAAGCACACATGAACACGCGTTATAAAACACACATGAACACGCGTTACAAAAGACACATGAACACACGTTACAAAGCACACATGGACACACGTTACAAAACACACATGAACACGCGTTACGAAACACACATGAACACGCGTTACAAAACACACATGAACACGCGTTACAAAACACACATGAACACGCGTTACAAAGCACACATGGACACACGTTACAAAACACACATGAACACGCGTTATAAAACACACATGAACACGCGTTACAAAACACACATGAACACGCGTTACAAAACACACATGAACACGCGTTACAAAACACACATGAACACGCGTTATAAAACACACATGAACACGCGTTACAAAACACACATGAACACGCGTTACAAAACACACATGAACACACGTTACAAAACACACATGAACACACGTTACAAAACACACATGAACACACGTTACAAAACACACATGAACACGCGTTACAAAACACACATGAACACGCGTTACAAAACACACGTGAATACACGTTACAAACCACACATGAACACACGTCACAAAACACACATGAACACACGTTACAAAACACGCGTGAATACACGTTACAAAATACACATGAACACACGTCACAAAACACACATGAACACACGTTACAAAACACACATGAACACGCGTTACAAAACACACGTGAATACACGTTACAAACCACACATGAACACACGTCACAAAACACACATGAACACACGTTACAAAACACAGGTGAATACACGTTACAAAACACACATGAACACACGTCACAAAACACACATGAACACACGTCACAAAACACACATGAACACGCGTTACAAAACACACATGAACACGCGTTACAAAACACACATGAACACGCGTTACAAAACACACATGAACACACGTCACAAAACACACATGAACACACGTTACAAAACACACATGAACACGCGTTACAAAACACACATGAACACACGTTACAAAACACACATGGACACACGTTACAAAACACACATGAACACACGTTACAAAACACACATGAACACACGTTACAAAACACACATGAACACGCGTTACAAAAACACATGAACACACGTTACAAAACACTCATGAACAGACGTCACAAAACACACATGAACACGCGTCACAAAACACACATGAACACGCGTTACAAAACACACATGAACACACGTCACAAAACACACATGAACACACATCACAAAACACACATGAACACGCGTTACAAAACACACATGAACACGCGTTACAAAAACACATGAACACACGTTACAAAACACTCATGAACACACGTCACAAAACACACATTAACACACGTTACAAAACAGCATATGTTATAAAGGGGCCCTAAATAAAAAAAATCAAACACAAATGTTTAACTTGCACAGTAATTGTATATATTTTTTATTTGCTATACAGTCGGATAATACGAGAAATCGCTAACCTTAAATACCCGGTCGTTCATAAAACTTGAAGGCAGTATAGTACTATAGTAGTAGAGCAAGTCCAGAATCACTGAACCGGAATTGATAGCTTGAAAGCATTTAGCACGGGGCCCTTGAAAGTGCGGGGCTCGTAGCTACGACACGTGTAGTAACTACTACAACACGTGTAGCTACTACATATGTAGCTACTACATGTGTAGTAGCTGCTACATGTGTAGCTGCTACACTTGTAGTAGCTACATATGTAGTAGCTGCTACACGTGTAGTAGCTACTACAACACGTGTAGCTACTACATATGTAGCCACTACATGTGTAGTAACTGCTACATGTGTAGCTGCTACACGTGTAGTAGCTACTACAACACGTGTAGCTACTACATATGTAGCTACACGTGTAGCTACATAGCTACTACTTATGTAGCTACTTTTGCAACTACGATAATCCGGCATTTGACCCTTGACCTGGGAATGTCGCAGTATAAGTGTATTATAATTGTCTCTCGCTGCTATGTGAAGTCTATAAACATCCCCCCCCCCACCCCCTAGACAGATCCCGACCGTTTCACGGCCACGTGTTCGTGAACCGACCCCCCCCTCCCCAACTCGACAAACGCTGCGTGTTCTGAGCGCTTTCGTTCCCTTCACGGCCACGGAGCCACCCTTCGAGGTGCCCAAGATCACAGTCGTTGCAGTGTTTTCACTTTTGAGTGAACTTCCCGCTAAAGTGTCGAAGCACCGCAGCGCTTGCCGTCATCATTGTTATACGGCAGTGGCGACCGGCACGTGTCTGGGACGTGTCCGTCCGTCTCACCCAGCCCAGCCAGCCAGCCCAGCCCAGCCAGCCCAGCCAGCCAGCCAGCCAGCAAAACTTTGTTTCGTCTAATATCGAGACCGGGTCTCTCGTCACCTTTCTCTTTTGCCTTCTCCGCTTTGTGCCGTAAACATCACAATGTGTACGGAACGTTATAAAGTGTATTGTTTGTATAAAACAGTGGCCTTGGGCATGTACACATTTGCTACAAGGCACGATAGCCAACAGCGCACAGCTGCCAACCCGCACGGTTTAGCCAGTAGTATTCTTGTACAGGGTAATTGAGTTTTCAAGTCCATACGGCGTACAGCCGTTTCAACACTGGCCAAACAAAATGTCTCTATTTGTTTGTGTTTCTCCCTTGTGATGGGACTTTGTAGGATGAACGTTGAGATTTATAAGGGCCACTGGGTGACCAATAAGGTCTGAATTGGTGTGTAATAATTGTAGGGCACTGATTAGGGGTTGACAGCTGTAGCAGTGGTCGAGACTAAGGACGGAGTGGCCAGCCAAGGGAGGGAGCTCGCATGCAAGGGAATATCAATCAAACATCAAACAGATCGAATCAATAGAACATCAAACAGATCGAATCGATAGAACATCAAACAGATCGAATCGATAGAACATCAAACAGATCGGTTACTTTGTGAGAAGGACCTTCTCCATGGAGCATGTGAAGCTCCTTCATAGCAAGCGAGTCATAAAGCCATTGGTGGTGGCGGGAAGGCCTCTGCGAGACGTTGTTGTTGTTGATGTTCTTGTTGTTGTTGTTGGTGAGCAGGCCTACAAGCAGTGGAGCTCGGAGGGCCGCGGGGGCCGGCGGGGCCACGACGCGCCAATGATCGCCTACGATGCCCTCATGGCCGCGGGGCCAAGCTGGGCCAAGCTCTGTGACCACGCCATGTTCCACGGCGGTGAGACAGCACACAGCAACAACAACAACAACATACTCTTTGGTTCTATTCGGTAAAGTCACGTAGGTTAAAAATAAAATAACAAAAATCACGACGTTTCGGCCACAACACAAGTGGCCTTCATCAGGTGAAGGGACCGTGCTGTCATGAGGACAGCGTTGGAGTGAAAACAGCCAAGTCCAGGTCGCGTCCTTTAAGCTGTGTGGGAGGAAGCAAAACGCCCGATGAAGGCCACTTGTGTTGTAGCCGAAACGTCGTGATTTATTTTATTTTATTTTTTACCTACGTGACTTTACCGAATAGAACCAAAGAGTATGGATCCTTGCAGTCACGAAAGCTTCAATTCTAGAAACAACAACAACACTCAATTAATTATAACTATTATATTATTATACTTATTATAATAGTGTCATTCTAAATATTATTATAATTATTATAAATATTATACTTATAAATATTATTAGAACAATACATCAATATTAGCAATTATTTTATTATTAATATAATTATAATAAATAATTACATATTTACAATATTGTCAATATTATTTGAAATATTATAATTATTATAGTGTAGTGTATAGTGTAGTGTATATTAGTGCATTGTCTCCATAGAGCCCAATGTGTTCACTTACCGACCATTCCCCCTGTTGACGACAGGCCGTTGTAGGTAGAGTAAATATTAAATAATGCATTGATTAACCACGTTTATTTTTAAATTATGTGTATATGATGTTTTTAGTATACTTATGTATTAATATCGATTGTTTAAATATTATAAAGTAAGTTTTTTTTGGTGAAAAGGGGTAACTTTCGATCCTAAAGGAACGAATTTCCTCGACTCGCTTAACGACCAAATCACTTGACGACCGGTGTCGTGGAACCGACGTCCGTCGTCAAGAGCGGATTCTTCTGTATAAGAGAGATGTGTACATCGTAGCGTCGCCACCCCAGCACCAGGCTAAGAGAGAGAGAGAGATTACGCAATTACATTTTGATAAAGCGGTAAGGTGCTCAAGGTATCCCTATAAACGCTGAAATGAGTAATGTGACCTATCAGTGGCACAGTGTGGTTTGGAAGGGGTCTGGTTCCATAAATGATTTGGGCCCTCATTTCCTCCATCAACATTACCCAACTCCTAAATCTGTGACCCGTGCGGGCCCTGGCCCGTACACTCAAAAGCCACGCCACTCACACTTAATTGAAGCCAAAATGACCCGAAATTTGAGAGGCGAATCTTGAACAAGAGACGAGACTGCAACGCAGCCCGTGTCCCCGCGCAGGCTTCAACAGCAGCACGGGCGCCGTGGCGGGCTGTCTCTTCGGGCTGCTGTACGGGATGTCGGGCACCCCGAAAGGCCACTACGAGCAGCTCGAGTTCCGCGCCGAGCTGGAAGATCTGGGCGCGAAGCTTCACGCCAAGAGCCTCAGCAAGGACGGCGACCCGCAGTAGCGGGGCCACCGTCGTTGTGGTGGTGCTTTGGGCCCAAGGGTCTGCTCCCACCTCCTGTCCCAACTTATAGTGGGCCCTCACGTCCAGATTCACAGGGGGAGGACGCCTGAGCTGGCATGGATATGGCAGGGCAAGAGCGGGGTATATGTCATGTAAGTTGAAGCCTTATGCCAAACTCAATGACGTGACTACATTATCAGCTCAAGGGGTGCGGCAATCGGTCAGGTGGGGCCTCAATACTGTTGACAACTTACCCCACGGTGAGTGTCAAGGGGGCCCCAACTCGTAAGCTTTGGCCACCAGTGGCGGGTGAGGCAAGGCACCCCCCTCCCTCCACGCCAGTAACGCAACTGCCCTAACCTCTACACGTCATGCGTGTTTGAGAACCCACATGAAAGCTTTGTTACCTGTAGCCACGCTAGGGGGCAGACTTTCCCGCACGATGCAATAAAGAGAAACACGTGAATTGCATGGCAATCAAAAACAATGCTTTTTGATTCTCGAAGCGGGAATTTCACGAAATTTGACAAAATCACACCCAAGCGATTTGACGTTTTGTAGTCGCAGGTAATCGGAGTGGCACCAGCAGCTCGAAACATTGGAGAACCCAGCTTAATCGCGGGCGGACAATAACTCGTACTTGGATCCAGGATCCCAGCAGCGTTGGCTCAGTGTCCCTGAAGCCGAAGCCACCCTCCTGGCCGAGTGTGCACCGATACTTGGCTTCAGTGGCAGTTCAGGTTGGTTTTTGGCCAAATAATTGGATTGAATACAACATATGCTCCTGTGCCGTCCGCCAACCAACACAATCTTGTGTGAAAATACGATGCGTCCACGAGTGTCTCACATGCTCTAATAGTGCATAAACTGTAACCATGTTTTTAATTGCGAGTGTATTATGCAAAGTGCTTTATAATAAAATTTGAATTCACTTAATTATTTTGATTCTTGCGTATTATGCAATGCGTCCCAGTGGATGTTAGAAAATTGTCTCAATGTGTAAGAATATTGTGAGCCTATATTCTCCAGCCAACTATCGGTTTTCGACGGACAGATTATCAGGGTTGTGGATTGACGCAGCCTAACAAGCAAAAATCGCGTTTTCATGCGCGGGCTGGTTTACTGACTGCTCATCACTCACTGGGATCAGTGACTCATTGCCGACGAGATCGCAAACACGTTCGCGTGTAAACCAATTACTTGAAGCAAACATACACTCAGCATTCTCACCCCCATTCTATCTAGGCAATCAACAATGGGATTTTTTCCCTTCTAAATCTTAACTAATAATAGGGTTTTCCCCTTTATTCTGGCAACAAAATTGAAACTTTTTTACAAGGAATCATGGTGTGCATTAACCACAATACTTTTGGTCAAAATGCAAACAAAAAACACAATCTGATATATGCATTGTCCTTGAAGCTGATTGGTCCACACCAGAGACGGCTTTCTTTTGAGCCTCGTCTCAATTGGTGCTAGACCAGAGGACGCCAAAAGGCGTACAGCTCAAAGACAATGAAATATCAAAAGAAAGCCGTCTCTGGTGTGGACCAATCAGTTACAAGGACAATGCATTATATTATCAGTTTTTTGTTTGCATTTTGACCACAAGTATTGTGGTTAATGCACACCATGATTGCTTGTATAAAGGTTTCAGTTTTGTTGCCAGAAAAATGGGGAAAACCCCTACTATTATTATATGTTGGTACTGGCAAAGGTCTAACGATGTAGATGCTTAACGAAATTTGACTTTGGAGCTTTCGTGACTGCAGGAATTATTCTTTGTTTTTTTTCGGTGAAGTCACGTAGAAATAATAAAATAACATAATAGTGTACGACGTTTCGATTGCAACACAAGCAATCATCATCAGGTACAGAAGAGCTAAATTTACGAGAGAGAGGAGACACATAACCGCAGATATATACAGACACAGATACAACAGGGGATACAGAGAGAGAGAAACGTGGGAGCACACCAAATCAAACAGGGTTTAGCATAATTTGTAAACTATATAACGCAACACAGACGGTCTGTCAAAACACAATTAACGCAAGGTCAGGTTGATTACGTTATTTCAAAGATTGCTAAATTGTAAGTTAAGTGTGAAATTTAAAATCTAAAAAATATACAGACCGCATACACATATATAGACATCCAAGCAGAACGAGTTAGCACAGAGACACATGGAGAGAGACGGGCACACAGTGTAGCACCCACGTTTCTCTCTGTCTGTATCCCCTGTTGTATCTGTCTGTATATATATCTGCGGTTATGTCTCCTCTCTCTCGTAAATTTAGCTCTTCTGTACCTGATGATGATTGCTTGTGGTGCAATCGACACGTCGTACACTATTATGTTATTTTATTATTTCTACGTGACTTTACCGAAAAAAACAAATAATTCCTGCAGTCACGAAACCTCCAAATTCAAGTTTCAACCACCTCTTCGTGGAGGTATGAGGTATGTGTCTCTGTGTTCTCTACTGGTGTGTTTTACCTTTGTGTTCTTGACATAGGTTTGTGTCTCTGTGTTATCTCCGCCTGTGTTTGTGCCTTGGGTTTCCGAGTGTGTGCCGTTTCCTCTGCTGCCTCCGCGCCGCCCCTTGCTGCATGCCTCATGCTGATTTGTGTCCCATTGTCTCGCCCATCATGTGTCGTTTCTTCCTTGGCCCGCGTGCAGCGCTCGAATTTGTTGCCCCATTACATCTCAGCCCCGCCCTCTCTGTCTGTATTTAAAACCTTGACACAGAGATGATGCTTCACTGTGTGCCTGTCTCTCTCCATGTGTCTCTGTGCTAACTCGTTCTGCTTGGATGTCTATATGTGTATGCGGTCTGTATATTTTTTAGATTTTAAATCTCACACTTAACTTACAATTTAGCAATCTTTGAAATAACGTAATCAACCTGACCTTGCGTTGTGTTTTCACCGACCGTCTGTGTTGCGTTATAGTTTCAAAATCTTGCTAAACCCTGTTTGAATTAGTGTGCTCCCACGTTTCTCTCTCCCTGTATCCCCTGTTGTATCTGTCTGTACATATATCTGCGGTTATGTCTCTTCTCTCTCGTAAATTTAGCTCTTCTGTACCTGATGATTGCTTGTTTTGCAATCGAAACGTCGTACACTATTATTTTATTATTTCTACGTGACTTTGCTTAACGAAATGTTGCATTTTTAGTTGTTTTTTAGATACGGGTTCATCCTTTCCCCCCCAATTACTCCAAATAATCGAGTTGTCAAATTAAAGTGTTTGTACCGACGAAAAGAAACAGGTCTAATCGGTCTTCTTTGGTTCTTTCGGTAAAGTCACGTAGAATGAGAATAAAATAATAAATTGATAAAATAAAATAACACAATAGGTCAGAATATTATTGCGTTATTTTATTTTATCAATTTATTATTTTATTCTCATTCTACGTGACTTTACCGAAAGAACCAAAGAAGATGAATCCTTGCAGTCACGAAAGCTTTAAATCGAGGTCTAATCGGGAATAGCCAGCAATAAGTAGAATCACATGAAAAGCCACTCTCTTGCCCGTTGTCAAATCCAGAAGTCTTTATTACCAAACGCAACCTGCACATTCAAGAGAGCCAATTAAAACAATACACACAAATTAGAAACCCGTTAATTATTAACTGAAGTCCCTTTGAAGCATGTTCTAACCACCCAGACCAGCCAGCATGTTGCCACTCGTCGCCACCGTCTTCACCCCCCCACAACTGACAAGAGTACGGTTCACACATTCAATGCCACCGAGCCACCACCACCTACTCTGGAAATGGGTGGAAGGAAGCAGTGCCAACCATGCAGTGTCACAATGTCCAGGTTACATTTTAAGAGAGAAAGGAACTCATCTTGCTCCAGAAAAGCATGCATCACACGCGGAGCACCATCTCCCTCTCCGGCATTCGGTACAATTATTCAAGTGGTAAAGCCAAAATGGTAAAGGCTCGGCCCTGCAATTGCTTATTATACCAATGCTGGCAGAAGATCCTCCAATGAAAGCGAAGTGGACCAGATGTGTAGGAGGTGGGCACACCCACACTTCAAATTGAACTGCTGCTGGGTGGACAGAAGCACAAGGATTTGAGAAACTTGCAGCACTGTTGTAACTGCAGTGCCGGAAGACGAAATCAAACCGACGACCCCCTTGGTTTGCAAATCCAGTCTACGCTCCACTACACTACTATGGCAGCTGTACAGCAAAATTGGAGGGTGGCCATAAGCTTCCGAACCAGAGTGCGGCATGGTTCTCGATCTGCTAGCAGTGGTGGTAAGAAGTGGCTACGACGCTTTGGTGCTTCTGAGTTACATTAAACCAGCGTCTACAGACAAGAAATAACCAATTAAAAAAATCCCTTTTTAAAAGAAAACCCCCTAAAAGTATTAAACATCAGTCTAACATTAAGCTACAAAGCCTTCGAAAGCAGGAAGGGCACAATGCTGTATTGTCAGCGTTTAAAGCCCGTTTAATTAAGGTTAACATCCACCTTGGTGGGATTTTAACTTAGGTGAAAACTCACAATGCCGTGTGATTTTTGGGAACGGCAAGTGCTCATCACCACGAATTTAGGAGCTGAAGGAGACTCCACCACTTTGACAGAGCAGCTCCACTGGATTGGTGTTTGGAGCTACAGCCAGGGCAGGTAGTACTCCGGCCAGGGCAGGTAGTACTACGGCCAGGGCAGGTAGTACAACGGTTAGGGCAAGTAGTACTACCACCAGGGCAGGTAGTACTACGGCCAGGGCAGGTAGTACTCCGGCCAGGGCAGGTAGTACTACGGCCAGGGCAGGTAGTACAACGGTTAGGGCAAGTAGTACTACCACCAGGGCAGGTAGTACTACGGCCAGGGCAGGTAGTACTACGGCCAGGGCAGGTAGTACTACAGCCAGGGCAGGCAGTACTACGGCCAGGGCAGGTAGTACTACCACCAGGGCAGGTAGTACTACAGCCAGGGCAGATAGTACTACAGCCAGGGCAGGTAGTACTACAGCCAGGGCAGATAGTACTACGGCCAGGGCAGGTAGTACTACAGCCAGGGCAGGCAGTACTACAGCCAGGGCAGGTAGTACTACGGCCAGGGCAGGTAGTACTACAGCCAGGGCAGGTAGTACTACAGCCAGGGCAGGCAGTACTACAGTCAAGTCGCACACCCAATTTGGAGACAAACCATAGGTTCACGGTGGGGGCAAGAGGGGTTCATCAGGGTTGGTCAACATCACCGGTAGACCTGACCCACCGTTCACACGCGCACGCAATTACGGGTGTGGTGCAAGGGTCTCGCGATGGACGTTGCATATTTGTGACAGCGGGGAGTAGCAGCAGAAGCTGTTTACAGGCAGCAGGCCGGCACAGCTGCGTGCTCGTGAACCAGGGAGAGGGGGACGCAACACGCGGGGGGGGGTAAAGATGCTTCCTACACATTATGGAAAATGATCAGACTACAGGAAGCCGTGCTAAACTAAGAAAGCAAAACAACGCGGCCCTATCATGGCTTACACAATCTATAGCCAGAAATTATTGTATCCTTACACTAAACTCGGGTAACAACTCCACCAGCGTACAGAGGCCCTCAACTTATACTTAATGCGATTAGTGCACTTAAAGAATCTCGTAAGTTTTGCACAACAGATATAACATTTAAAAAGCCACGCGAAATCACCCAGCAATTGGAAACGAACCCACCTCACCCGGTTACGAAATATGCTTAAACATTTCACACATCGCATCGGCATTATTGGTAACGTCAGTACTGTAAATGCAGCTGTTTCCCATTTAAAAAATAAAACACATTTATCAAAATGCTCCCACGCGACAATCAATTCCCTTTGGGGCGATGGGTTCGTAATAATGATGCGGTGCGCCTCGACCAACGCCCCCGGTTGTTACCCCGCTACGAGCAGACACTGCTGGAGGAGATGACCACAGAGCTCGTTCAACCCCTGAAATGCAAGACGTCCCTCTGTGGTTACGCGCCTGCATCGCTTCCCGCTCACGGATTACGAACGCAATTCACCGGAGAGGCCACGACTTTCATGCCGAACGTTATTGTTGTTTTATAACCGGGGAGGGGAGGGCGTTGCAGCGGCGCCGATAAAGAATTGTGAAAGCGCAACTTGCTTGTCAACTTAATGAGACTCGTTGGTGTAGATTCGAAGACGTCGGCGGAGCGCACGCTGCAGAGAATCCGGCGCCAGTCTCCTGATCGGACGATGCTCAAAGACAGGAGGGGGTGTCCACGTGAAACACGACCAGGCCAAGGAACACGTCAATCGCTTTTTTACCAGTGTCAAGCGTTCAACTTGTTGCTTCTGTTCCTCGTAGCGAGGGCAGCCGGAGTGGTATAGATGCTCCCTTCAGCCTATGCCTCTCCCTTCCCTCCTTGCAACCTACACCCCACCCCCAACCAGGGTACACTGCGTTCTGCCAGTATTGGAGCTGCTTCATTCCGCCTACAATTAAATGTGAGACATTGAGTGGGCATGCCTTCCCATCTGCATGGTGGACTTGTCACACCGCACGTAGCCAACCGTGCTAATCGGAGGTGGCGCTTCCACTGTGTGGCCCGCACTACTGCTCCGTATTGGTCAACTTAAGTCCAGTTCAAAAAGCCTTTTGTTTACTACGCCCTTTGAGTTGACCTGGGTTAGGGCGTGCTATGTATTTGCGCGGGCCAATATTTCTGCGGTTGTCTTGCACGGCAATGTGAGATGCAGTTTTCCACGAACCACGCTATATAACATTGAATGTTTATGCCTTGCACCCACCAAGAGCATTCCAGTCTCCGGGCGACGCTTCCAGGGTTAACGTGACCCCCCCCCCCGCCCCGCCCGGCTCCACGTGGCAGGGTGACGCGGGAATCGTTCACCGCCACAGGGTTGACGAGGGAGAGGTAATCGCGTTACCTCGGTGGGCACGGTGAACGGTGATCGGTGGGGGGGGGGAACACCGCAAGACCTGCAAGGCACTGCCGAAAATCAAAACGGCGGCTGGAACAAAGCCCAACCCCTGAAACAAACGTGTTGGTGCCCACGGAGAAGCGATTTCCCGCGCTTACCGATGCCCAGTGCAGGTGTAAAATACCAAGAGTGCAAGGCAGAGATTTTCACTAAACTAACCGAGGAAACCCGGAAGCGCAATTTTGTTTTCATGGTTATGACAGGCAAAGGGCGTTTAAGTGTCCACAAGTTTGCGTCACCCTTTATAGGCGCCCACGCAAATCGCCATGCTGCCCCCACACGTGCTGTACTGTATATTCAAACAATATATCCTAAAATTCGTGGCCACTACACATACCCGCGCAGGGGACACCTACGAATCGCGTGACCACTCCGGTCCGAGCGCCCACGTTTGAGCGAAGGTGGCCCGGACGAGCCCCAAGTTGGGGTGGAATGGGTACCGTGGCGCGAGACCACGACGGGCCCCATCCCCGCGCTCTCACTCCCCCGAACTGCTCGGCGATGCCAACGCGAGGATCATCGCAGCAAGCTTCTTTGCTCTACTCATTGCCGTTATTGCCCTCGCCATTTCGAAACGCAGGCCTCGGAACGGTGCAGAAAATCTGACATTGCCAACGTACACAAGCTGACCACGTCTTCTCGAATCAAGAGGCTAATTTAGCCCAAGTGCCGCCCGTGCCACGACCACATTAAAATTCAGAAGCCGTTGGGCCGACGTCAACTCACGGCAACCACCACGGACGGCACTCACCACCACCACCACCACCTTCCTTCTCACTTTGCTCTCGCCATTTACCATGGGTTGCATCAATGCGGTTAGAGATTGATGGTGAAGTTAGGCTGAATGGGTACAGGTCAGGTTCCAGCCTCGTGCCTTCCAATGCTAGGCGTCACAGCAAGCGTGAGTCGCCTTATGTTCGGGTTGGTCAAAGGTATTTGCATTCATCTTGCACGAGTCAAGTGAAACAGAGCAGGGTCTGATGTGTGTGTGGCTGCACAGACATCCCCGTCATTTACAATTTGAGGAAAGTTAGCAGCTTCATTTCAGACGTCCTATATTACAATTACATCAGCAAGTGCAGGTGCTGAAGCTTAGCGTAGCAAGCGGCATGCTGTCACGAGCGGTTCGCTTATATATATAAACTCCCCATTGGCTCGCAGAAGCAACGGAGTTCTGTTGCTCGCAGCCTTGGCCGGGTAGCGCCGTCGCTCGGTGGAACATCACTGGACTCAGTGGGTGGGCGAGCACGATCACAATCAATCATCGCCTACGCCTGTAAAAGGCCCCTCAGCCAAAGGAGATCTCAGAGCAGACAGCTCGCATCCAATCGCTGCGCAGGATCACCGATTTCGAGAATGCCTGCGATCAACCAAACCTTCAGACAAATGGCCGATGGCCCATCCATAGGCTGACTCGTAAGCAGCATGCATCCTCGTGCATGTGGACCTCCGGTGCAGTGGCACGGCTGCCCCGAGTGGGCAGCACGATGGGGGGGCAGCACGTAAAGTCTAGGTTTGCACCGGGAATCGACGTTGGCTTGAGTGTCGGCCAAGTGTTTAGGGTCAGGGCACGAGGTTCACTCTTGGTTCAGTGATCTATCGTTCCGGCAGCTACCAGTAGGTTTTGAGTAGATAGATGTCAAAGCCGCTTATCAGGGTGGACGCTGCTGCTGCTGCTGCTGCTGCTCTCCAAATCAACCGGGCCTGGCTCGGAGCAGCCGCGACCGCAACGCCCGGTACACCTTTCCGCTCGGACTCGAGGCCGGCGAACGCGATCGTACGCATCTCATTGAATGCGTGCCGCCGTGAGGCCGAGCCAATATAGTGGACCTACCACCAATTGCCTTTGGAAACGGCAGCTAGGTGAACGACAAGAGCGATCGGTGAGACATGGTAAAGATCGCCACGGCCTCGGGGCAAAGCAGCTAATCCAGTCGAGGCTGCGTGGCTTCGATTTCCACGGCCTCGCGTCGGAAGCGGTGCGCAAGCCCAGCACGTGGTACACGCATAAAGTTATTGTGTCCTGGGAAATATTTTTTTCTAGTTTACATGCATTTACCACGGCATTCTCCTGCAATGCGTCACACCAGATAAGTCTGAACAGCCCACTCAGATCTGGAGAAATATTCATATTGAAGGAATAGCAGTTGGTTGTGGCAGAACATAAGTCAACCAATGTATATATGCATAGAGAAAATGCAAACAATAGTCTCGTAGTTCTCACCTGATTAAACAAATCAAGTTGACAGAGATATACCATCAAAAGCCCCACTTTGGAAGAAGAAAACTTAAAAAAAAATTTTACCCAGAAATGTCTTAATTTTAGATCTGAGTGGGCTGTGGGTCTTAACAGGACCGTGGGAAAAGGCTGCGCAGCCAATCTCAGAAGACATTCTGGCTGGCAAGGGCAGAAGAAGGTAGGGCTGGGTGGTGAGGAGACAGGGCGGGGGAGGTAGGGCTGGGTGGTGAGGAGACAGGGCGGGGGAGGTAGGGCTGGGTGGTGAGGAGACACGGGCAGAGGGAAGGTAGGGCTGGGTGGTGAGGAGACAGGTCGGGGGAGGTAGGGCTGGGTGGTGAGGAGACAGGGCAGGGGGAAGGTAGGGCTGGGTGATGAGGAGACAGGGCGGGGGAGGTAGGGCTGGGTGGTGAGGAGACAGGGCGGGGGAGGTAGGGCTGGGTGGTGAGGAGACAGGGCGGGGGAGGTAGGGCTGGGTGGTGACGGGACAGGGCAGTGGGAAGGTAGAGCCGGGCAGCGAGGGAACAGAGCAGAGGAAAGTAGGGCCGCCCGGGTGGTGAGGGGATAGGGCGGGGATTGGCTGGGAAGGTGGCGAGGATGGAGAGAGGCCTAGATGGACTGGTAGCCGGAGTGGCTGCGGCGTTTTCCGATGATGTAGGCCACAAGTACGACGAGCACGAGTGCGGCCAGCACGGAGCCCACGATGATGGGGATGAGCATGTTGTCCGTGTCCTGCGAGCATTTCTCGGCTGGGGGAAATCACAGCGCAGAGATCAGCAGCATTGCACACGCAGTTAATCGCACGCGCGTAAATCGGGCAAAGATACCCCGTGCAGACTTTAGACCGTTGTTGGGCCAAGTGCTTGTTTGGAAATATCTATTGAGGGCAGTGAGGCATAACAAGGGAGTGGGTGTGACAAGAGCCACACCCGGCCGCCCACGTTTCCTAAGGTGCTGATGTTTGCATGCCACATCGGGTAATCATTTATGATCGAGGCGACCAAGCACAGACCCAGGTCCGGTTCAGATCTCGATCATCACTTAGATGTTAAGCGTAGTCGGGAATCGTCACCTTTAAGGTCGCCGAGATTACGCGCAGCGCACTAGCCACTACTTTGCGCCACCACTCCCCACGTTAACCAAAGACAATAGTCACAAGGCCCGCCCCCCGTATGGCCTCTCACAGACTGTTGAGGCAAGTACCGTTAGCAGACGACTACTTAGGCCGGGATGGCACACGAGGGAGTGGGGGTGGCCAGCATTACGCCTGGTCTCCTTCGTCTCCCTCGTAGGGATGTTTCAACATCGTACGAGGTACTCAATGCACGCCAAATCGACCCACGTTAACCACGCGCACACACGCGCACACACGCGCACACAACTGCGAGCATCACTGGCAGCTAAGGAGTCGCCGAAGTGCAATGTACCGGATACTGACCAATCACACGCACCTTTGCAGGACGTACAGCGTTTATTCGGCAACCTACGGTTGCCGAATAAATTCAACACACAAATATTAACGAAAGCCCAACACGTCCGTCAATAACAATGCCCTATAACAACATAGTCCCTATTTCATCTCCCTGCTACGGGCAATTGTCTGAAACGTGGCCTATTACGTTTTCCCCTCTCGGGCAGTGCTTTGAGAAATGTGTCGATTTTGTTGTTGTTATTTGCGCTTGAGCACCACTGCCAACGTACGACCGTAATAATTTGAACATATTACAAGGTCAATGCATTCTGCCCATTGATTTCCCAACGCCAAGCGAAAGAGAGAGAGCGAGCGAGCGAGCACCGGGGGTGGGGAGACGGACCTGTGGAGAATTTGGAGCTGGTGACGTTGAAGGGCTGCAGTTGGACTTGCGAGATAACCACCCTGACGGTGTGGTTCACGGTGCTGTTCACCACCGCGTACTGCTCCGCCATGCACGCGTACGAGTTGCCCACGCTCGCCTGGAACAGCTTCAGCGAGCTGTTGGCTCCCACGTACTTCTCTGCACGGGCACAAGCACGACAGCGGAGGAGGCGGCGCAGTTGCGCGATGGCGTGCGCGTTTGTGCCGCGATGGCGCGACTGTTTTAATAATTTAAACTTGCAACGCGCCGCACAGTCATCGCTCGCTCTCGTACAAAGAGAACGACGCGGAGACGCGAGCCGGAACCACGGACGAGAAGGACGGCGGTCACAATAATTGCCCAAGCTCTGTGGTCCCCTACATATTAAAAAGGTGTCATCGGACATTTAACGAGTGTTTATATCTCGGGATGAAACCGGACCAACGGGGGAGTAACTCGTACGAAGGAGCGGGTAATCTATGGCGACACCTCGTTGCCCACCAACCATCGTCCCCCCCCCACGGTACTGGATTACATGGCACGTGCACAGCCTCCATCCACATCGTTGTTACATTCTGGCCAGAATTGGCCAGGAGGCTCAGCGGTAAGAGTGAGCGAGCGGCTCGTAATCGGAAGGTTGCAACTTCTTGGTGGGGGTTGACCCGACCTATCCCTCCAGGGTCGCTAAATAGAATACCACTTTGCGGGGAAGTCAATATTGGTTGTCCTACTACAGATAAACTCGCCAACCCCTGCACCATGGGGATGGGGAATTTCCACCACTGGCTCAGTGCTGTAAAGAAGACATGATCACCACCACAATGCTCATTTGATGGGAAATTCATTTGGGGGGCGAATGCTTGTGCAGTGTGCATGGATATTAATTATATTAAACACATAAAAGGCCCTATTTTCCATGGCATGAAAGAACTATCAGCACATGCTGTAAGATTGCGTATAACTGGAACGAATCGTGAAAAATACGTGCTCCATAGAAGCATTTTAATCCGCCTCTCTTTGTGGTTTTAGTTTTAAGCTTGTCAATACACGGTGGCTTACAGTTACCAAAACGAATGGGGAAGAGACCCCCACTTTGAATGCAATGAACTGGAGGCAGAGCAGACTTCATAAGGACAGCTTTGTCACGTATGCGTGTACAATTTTGATACTCTGAAGCATGTGGAACATTTTTAATTTAATTATCATCATTAAACTTGTTTATAAAGGAAAGCCTCACCGAGTCTCAAGACTGCCAAGTTTTCACAGTAGCCTGGACGATGTTGCTGCCGTGTGAAATTGTAATTGAGTAATTTTCAGGTAACTATTCAGCAATGGGATGTGGTTTGCCCAACACCAATTACATTGCATGTGTGTTTAGCTACGAGAGGAAACCGGAGGCCCAGGCAGAAATCCATACAGAAGAGAGGGAGAACATACAAGCTCCACACAGAAAGATGCCCAACTCGGGAATCCAACCCGGGACAATCATACCGTGAGGGCCAGGCCAGTGTTATGACTGTGCCACCCCGCCACCCATGTCAAGACGATGAAGTATGCAACGCACATCATCGGTGGGTAACCGGGGAAAAGATCGCATCACCCTGAACTTCGAGCGCCGTCAAAACACCCCAAAGAGAACGCTCCGGCCGTGGGCGATGGCCACGGCCGGTTTAACGACGCACCGTGTACACAACCACTACGGGGTACCTGCACGGTCGTATCAAGGCAATGCCCCGGGCACAGGAATGGCGTGAACGGAGGCACTCGTTAAAACTCACCGTGAGGCGTCGCGTTAGGGAAAGTATGCTGGAGAAGGCCCTCCAGCTTGTGCAAGTAAAACTTGCTCTCGTTCTGCGAGGAGTAGACAAGACACAGTCCACTGGTGAGTCGTAGGGCAATTGCGCAAAGAGGGATAAAGCAATCATGTCTACTTGAGGACGATTATTTTCCCGACACAAAGTGTGACAATGTTTTCTGCCCGGTGTGTTTGTGGTTCTCAAAACCGTCAAAGCCACGAGAGGGGTGTGAGGAATTGGACTGTGCGCGGCGTGCAGCACAGCGACAGAGCCCTCACCTTGACGAATGTGAACGTCAGATAACCCTGGGGATACGTGAGGCGCAGCACGGGTGAGTTGGGGTCACAATGGCCGGTGGCCTTGGTGTTATTGGGATCCACGTTGAATATGCCGTGGGCGACCTGTGAGGAGATAACAGCCACCTCAGATTGGCACGGTTGGCTACGTACGGTGCGAAAGAAATTCAGCACACGCGTAACCGTTCGTCAGATAGCAGATGCGGATTGTTTCAAAGCCGCGGGAGTGAACAGCATTTCCAGTGGTGCCAAGTGCTGGCTTTGCAAAATAGTGAGATGAGTGAATATCGAGTTTAATCAATCTTCATCAGCTGCGTGAGAACTCAAGAGAGCAGGACAGCGTGTCATTTACATGCGTGACCCTGTGTGTCAACAAAATCAACACAGATTAAGTACAGCAATGAAGCAAATGGAAATCAGAGCAAGGACAACCGTGCAACATAAGATATTGACAATGTAGCACAAACACAACATGAATGTGATATTAGAAACTTCCTGTGGCGCAAGATGGTTCTGGCATCTTATTTTTAGACTCGTCATGGAAGAATTTAAGTTAAAATATGTAGAATCTTTAAACAGATATACGGCGTCCATCGCACAAATATGTAAACAGACGAGGACACGTGTCAAACGCAACTGCAGGCGAATCGAGATAACATCAAAGGCCAACGCCAATGGTGCCACCTCACCTCGCCACCAAAAGCTCTCAAAACCTTCATCCATAAGAGATTTTTGGGGTTAGATCGCCTAAATATAAATGTGTCCTAAAACCCACTACCACCCGACACAGCCAATTAGTAAGGTTTGTCATGTAAACAAAATATGCCAATTCGTTACTCGTTCAGAACCCCGGTTGAGTTGGGAGAGTAAAATCCACAACATTTACAATTTGAGACACGACGTTTCGCCAGTAATTGCAACCGGCATCATCAGGCAACATTTACATTCACGCGATCTTACCCAAAAAAACTTTTATATGGATAACATTGGTCGCGAAATCCTACTACACGTTTAGCTCTCAAACCTGCTGCAGATTTCACAGCGGAGCCAAGTGTCGACCCGGGGGCGGGGGCGGTGCACAGGGCCATGAGGGTGTACGCACCTGTTTGGAGCTTTGGTTTATGTACTCCACGTTGAGGCGCAGGGCCAAAATGGCAATGAGACAGGTTTGGTTGTCTTGGGTGAGGCTGTAGTTGCCCTTGGAAGGCGCCGCCGGTGGTGCCGGTGGTACCGGCGGAGGATGAGTGGGAGGATGAGTGGGAGCGGGGGAGGTTGTTGTCGGTTTGGGCGAATGCGTGGTGTGGTTGTGCGGCGGCGTGGCATGGGTGGTCGTAGAGGTGAAATCCTTCGAGCACTTGACGCCTGTAATGAAACGCACGACGGGCCCGGCGAGGAGGTTTACTGCCCAAAGCTCTCCGCAGCCTTCCCTTGACCACCGCAAACACAGCAAAGCCGCCTCCCCCCTTCACGTGCGGGCGGTGGTGGCTAGGCACGGCGGCCTGCACTCCAACGCTGTGGAGGCGGCAAGGGTTGGTGTATCGCACGAATATCACACACCTCTGGGTGCCACATCCTGTCTCGCCAAGGGGTGGTACAGAAATTGGGGACTAATATCTCCAACGTTCCCATCTGAATGGGATAGAGTGTTGCCCCCACGCACACGTGGGTGTTCTCCAACACGTACGGACACTCATTAATTGGCTGAAAACATCTTAACAGATATACACACACACACACACCTCTGTGTATGCAGAGATTGTGCAGCGTTGCAAGATGCAGTTTGCACGAATGGCACGATGTAAAAATACTCGGTATCATTATTATTATGACTTCATGGTACAATGTGACCACTAGACCGGTTTCCTGGGTACACCGACTGAAATCCAGCACGGCGATGGGGGTGACACGGTGAAAATGCGAACTACATGCCCACACAACTGTACACGAGGTGTCTCGGGGCACATTCTGACAAGACAGCAAACCACGTCTGCAATGAAAGCAGGAAAACCAAACGCCTCGCGAGACAGCGGATGCCCGCTCGTGGCACGAGGAGGAGAGCGAGCGGTCAAATGTCGCGCGTACCTGGTGAGAAGGTGCCATTATCGATGCCGAAAGGCTGCACTTGCACGTCCCACGCGATTAGACTGAGAGCCATTCCAAGAACAACTGTGTTCGGGGAGTGACACTCAAACGATTCGTTGGATGGTGCCAGTTGGATCTTCCCGTGGAAGGTATCATTATAACCTGTAAAGTACAAAAAACACAAAAATATACACGGGGGAATGAAAGGCCGTGCTTTGTCACAAACACCGACACGGAGTAGACACTCATTCTGTCTCGACCTCAGCACAGCGCATTCATCAATACAATGCCATGAGGTGCGTTCTCTCTACGTATCAATACAACGAGACCATAAGAGGTTTTTTTTTGGGTTAGATCGCGTACATATAAATGTGTTGTTAAACCCGCCACCACTCGACACAGCCAATTAGTTAAGTTTGCCACGTAAACAGAAAACGCCAATTCGTTCCTAGTACAGCAAATCGGGTGTGTTGGAGAGCAAATCCACAACATTTCGAATCTTGAGTACGACATTTTGCCAGTAATTACAACTAGCTTCATAAGGTGACAGGCATATTTGTGGAGACATCCTCCTGTTTTGTTCCCAAAATAGAGGGATGCAACGGGAGGATTTCTCCAAAAAATCCGGTTGTCGCCTGATGAAGCTAGTTGTAATTACTGGCGAAACGTCGTACTCAGATTGTAAATGTTGTGGATTTGCTCTCCAACACACAACGGGTGTAGTGCTGTACTAGTGACGAATTGGCCACGTTCTGTTTACGTGACAACCCTTACTAGTTGGCTGTGTCGGGTGGTGGCGGGTTTAACAACACATTAATATTTACGCGAATTAACCCAAAAAACTTTATTATGGATGATATTGCTCGCAAAAGCCTCAGTGTTAAATAATGTGACCATTTCTCACCGTGGCCTGAAGGGGTTAAGGACAGTTCAGCTGTAATAGTTTGCAAAATTGCATTTGTCTTCTCCTGAAGGAGGAAAACAGAATACGTTAGACAGTCTGCAGTAGAAACACGACGCATGTAATAAGGATTACACTTCAACTGCTGTTTATTTCCAACCCTGATGAAACATCCCAAATAGACATGGGCTTTTAGACTCCAATATTAGACTGTATGAAACCCAGAAAAGAGGTTTTTGGGTTAGATCGTGTAAATATATGTCGTTAAACACACCACCACTCGACACGGCCCATGAGCAAGGGTTGTCACGTAAACAAAGCAAAGCCACAATGTTGCCACTCTCCAACACACCGGTGTGCTGTACTAGTGACGAATTGGCCACGTTCTGTTTACGTGACAACACTTTCTAGTTGGCTGTGTCGGGTGGTGGCGGGTTTTAACGACACATTTATATGTTTACGTGATCTAACGCAAAAAAACTCTATTATGGATGATATTGGTTGCTTGTGTTGCAGTCGAAACGTCGTGAGAATCTTATTGTTTTATATTTTTATTATTTTATTGTTTCCCTTCTAAGTGACTTTACCGAAAAGAACCAAGAATATGTATGAAACGTGTGAATTGTAAAGAAGCGGGCATTACCTTTGCAAAAGTGAACAAGACAGATCCCTCTTTGAATTGGAGCTTCAGTGTGGAGATAATGGATAAACAAGAACCACTGGCATTGGTGACATTCGGATTGATGTCGAACTTCAGGAAACCCTGCAAGAGAAATCCAAGGTATGCGAGTCCAACGTCATGTAAGTTGCCAGAGACAGGTAACAGCATACGCCTAGAGGCAGCGGAGTTGTCCTGCCATTACCATAGCTCAAATAAACAATTTCTTTATGTTACCAGGTAAGGCCCCTGTGAGCTATAGAGCTTTTTTTTCAGAAGCGACCTGGCTACAAATGATAGCGCCACAAATGATAGCTCAACAAAGTGGTTTATCACGTGGAAATTTAAAGCAGCCAAATACTCTAAACGCGCATTTCCAAACGTGGAGGAAAAAAACGGAGGACTCGGAGAAGAATCCAGGCGACCACAGGGAGAAAATGCAAACTCCAAATACACAGCAGGCGTCAGGGTTCAGATTGAACCCATGACCTCCTGTATACCAGGCGAGGTAGTTAACATCTCGCAACCCAGCGGTGTCACATTGTAACTTAAAAGTACAACATCTCAGTTATGCAGCAGACACATGGAACCACGAGCAGTGATCCTGCTCACAGGGAAGGGGTACCACCCCCATTTGCTTCTGCCCAACTTAAACTGCAATGCACATTTAAATTGAGATAATGGCAGGGCTGTGGGCAACATAAAACATTGAGCAGAATGTAGGTGATAGAGTGTCAATTATGGATTAGCTAAGATCCTGGTTCGAACCCAGGCATCGGCTTGTGATTATACTGGCTTCTCAAGTGGCCTCAGCCTAGCCAAATTTGAATTAGCCAAATTCCATCTCTGGTCATTTTAAATAGGGGTTTGACTGTGGCACGTCAAAAATTACTCTCACTTGAAGAAACCTCAGAGGTAGCTCTCCGATATCCACTCACGAGACGGGAATACACATCACGCTAGTGGTGAGATAGGCTGCTCGGACTCAACGTTGAGCATCCTCTTCGCTTGGCACGCACTCACGCAAGGGATAGTCCCGCCAGACTGCTCGACTCACCAGATCGTCGGTGTTGTTCACAACCAGCTGCAGAGCTGCCTGCGCCTTCAGACAAACCTTCTTGTCATCATCGTAGATTTCATAGTGGCCGATATCTGGAGCAGCAAGCACCCATCCCACTGCAGGATAATACAGCACACCACAACACATGAGCGATGGTAAGGATGTACGTGCACACGCCCTGTTGACAATCCTCTGCGGGATAGGACCTCCTAATGCCGTGTAGGTGCAAGAGTTTACCAGACCATACCTTACCACTCTGGTCGGTGCGGGTTGGGGTCAAGTCTGGGAGCACGGATGGCGGGAGCACAAAAGTACAGTACACCAATGGATTTTTCTTCAATTGCTTCCACTGCCCACAATGTAAGCCTGCAACAGCCTACAGCACCTGTTTTGTGCACAAGCGGTCACCTATTCAAGCGCTGTGCACGTTCAAACCTGCGCCACGGGATCGGGCGAATGAGCAGGCGAGTTGGTCACGCGCTAATTGAGATAATGATACCCCTTATTTATCCAGGACATGCGGGACGCTGCTACGGTTGCATTTTCAGAGCAGCCAAAATAATACAGAGAATGAAAGCAGAAGTGTGGACTTCGTGCGTGCGGTTATCACAACAGTTTCGGGGCTTTCCACTGGCCTCGAGGAACGTGAAAGCTGTGAAACTCTGCGCGTACTCACCGACATGAACAATTAAAAGGGAACCAAGGGAAAGATAGCTAAATATATATTACACGTGGCGACTGCTGTACAATGGAGTTATAGAATAATCAGTGTGTGCCAGTAACTTTGTATACATTCTCATTCTGCCTGCCTCCGTGTTTAAGTCGCCGACAACACGGAGCCGACAGTATTTTGCTGCGATTGTTTAATTACGTGGAATTTGCTCCGCGTCACGGATTAGTGGCATGAGCACCTCTGCACTGTCTCCAGAGTCAAACACGCGGCAGTCACGTCACCGAGAGATTATAAACAAGCCGAGGGAATGAGAGTGCACATAATGTGTGCAGGCCCTGCGCCAAGGGCAAAGCTGCAAGTACCACCACCACTCTATTCGTGGCACCTTCAGACCCGTTCCAGGTACGGCTTTGAGTCGATGATTGGAATGCGATCAATCTCATCAGATTTCAGAAGATAAGCAACTTGCTTGCAGCGCTATGTCACGGTCAGTGGAGGGTCGTGCAACAGCATACATTGCTGTATTTCTCTTAAGTTTCCATGACCATGCTTCCCGCTTTCACCAATGCGTATTGACCAGTGTGGCCGAAGTACAATCACATTACCCCCCCAACACCGGAATAGTGTGTGGGGACGCCCTCTCTACCAGCAGTGGATTTAGACACAAAGAACCATGCACTATACTGTTCATATAACGCAGCATAATGTACTAAATGATGCATCAAACTATAACAGCGTAGTACAACGGTTTTGCAGCATAACAGTATTCTACTTGAACATTCACACTGTCGTGACTTATGATTTAACTAACAGTTAAACCATAAGAGCTGTACATGTTAGACGTACAGAATTTAAGCAAAATTTTTCCCAGGTCGCCTTAATTCGCGCCCAACGGCCGCATTCACGGTGCCCGGAGGGGCGATGCTATCGCGCCGCCTGTACGACACGGGGGGCATAAGACGCGGAATTGGAGTGGCGTCGCTGGGGTGGTCGTGTGTGGGCCTCAACGCCCGAGCACACACCGGTCCAAAAAAACACACACACACACACGACCGCAGCTGATGTCGAAGCAAAGGAGAAGCCTAATTTTCCTGAAATATTCTCATTTATAAAATGCTTTAAACCAATGACTTAGCCACTCTTTTTTGATGGGACAATCAACATCTACACCTTAACTAAACAAATACACTCCCACAAGGCAAGCCAATAAAAGCAGCGTCTACAAAGGAAAGTTTCCATTGCTGACATTTCACCAGAGGGGCAGCTGTTGATGTGGAGGCCACTTCAACAGGTGCCCAATCACGTGCCAAGTACAGTGGGGTGCGTTCGTATGGCCGACACCACCCACCCTGGCTAGCCCATCAGCCATGGAGGGGACAACTTATGGGACAGGCCCACCCGGTGTAACGCTCATGGTACGTTGGCCACACGGCTGCGAGTCACCGAACTCGTGTGTGGCGCTGCACGAGAAAGTGAGGAGACCTCGCGCCTCCGAGCGCTCCGTTCCCACCGAGCTCACCAGCACGGCGCACCACAGGAAGGGGACTGGATCTTATCTTACAAGAATGTATGTACAGTAGTACATACGGATGTAATTTTGGAGATGAGGTGAATTAAAAAGATGAGAGGAAACAATGGGCAAATCTGTGACGCGTGAATTCGGTGTATCGCAGCATTCGAGTAAGATAAAGTTCTACAGCAAGATGCGTTTAATCTAATCTCAAACGGTTGAGTCCCTTTCGAAATCTGTTAACCATGTACATAAAATCTAAATTGATATTCTGAAAAGCGGCAATGCTATGTTGCATTACACAATAATGTGGATCCGTGTGTTCAACTGTAAATGTAACCACAAAGCACGATGTAGCCACCATCAGGCGCGTGTAACTCTGTTGGTTTCACTTCCTGGAATGGAAACCGCCGCCGCTGTCACGCGCGCCTCCTCGCGTTGGCAGGCGCATGCCCCATGTGCACAGACGTCCTCCTGCACGACCCTGTGGACACCGAGTGAGCCTGTGAACCCTCTCTCCTTGTTCACATCCAGGAGATTCAGTGGCGAGGCCAGGAACAGTTCCCAAGTGACGGAACTTTTTGCCTCTAAATTGCGACCCTCAAGGAGCCACGAGGTCCTCCAGCTGCTCCTGTCGGCCAGTCTTCCAGCAGACAAGTGAAGTCAAGATCGCAATTAATGAATTTATTTTTGGCGACTCCGTCCCGCTGCGCACATGAACGCCGCGACCCACCTGGCGCGGATCGTTCTGTTGTCGTGTCGTCATAGCGCAGCAGCAGCAGCACGGACGAATGCGCAGAAGAAACAAAACTTTGAAACTTTGATTAGCGCATCGCGTGGAGCTCGTCGAGAGGAATTGATTCTTGTGTCGTTAGCCTTCGACAGACATAAAATGACGTCGCAACGCAGTTTATGCGAGAGCCGGGAGGGCTTAGGGGACTCAGGGGTCCCGCCATAAGGTTCAAGTGAAGAATGTACCCAAAAGCTTCTGGAACACCTCCCTCGTTTCAGCAAGAAAACAGCAGAAGGGAATGCAACAGTACTAAGGATCATGGCAAGGGCAATGCAAATGAAGGACTCCTGATCCTTGATGTCAGACAGAGGACATGTACTAGGGGACCAGCTGCGGTCATCACTTTCAAATCAACAAACTAATTCATGAAGGGAATGTAAAAGTGGTGAATTTTAAAGTAGCTGCTAAAAAGGGTAAAGATACACATCCGGTGTCCAAAAATCAATGGGGGTCTGTCCTAACTCTTTGCATACCGTGAACATGCAATGCTTTATTTACAATTCTTCCGAGGGGCCTCGCACTCAGGGAATTCAATATGTCAGAAATACTCAACGCGAACAACTAATTAAAATCAGGAGGGACATGTCTCTTGCGGTAGCCCGCCAACGTTGCTGAAAACAATCACCATTGGGCGCGAGGGTAGAAGCGTAACAGTAACAACTCGTGCCTCGCGGTAAAAAGTTCCCGGGTTCGATTCCTGACATGGGCGATTTTCTTCCTGGCGTTCGTACGTTGTCTCCCTGTCCTGCATGGGTTCCTCTGAATTCTCCTATTTTCTCCCGGAGATAAAAAAAAAGTAAACCATACAACATAACTGATATTGGCCAAACATCTCACTGCTGAAAATGGACATTGCCTGCATATTTCTCAATTAGGATTACATTTGGCAACATCGGCTCCTACTGTGAAATCTTGAAGGACACCTATAATGTAAGTCTTAAGATTCATTCCGGCTTTCCTGGGTAAACGCGTGCAATAATACAAATGGAAATCATATTCTTGGTTCTTTCGGTAAAGTTACGTAGAAGGGAAATAATTAAATTATAAAAATAAAACATAATAAAATTCTTACGACGTTTTGGCCACAACGCAAGCAGCCGTCCTCAGGTGAAGAAACAGAGCTGTCGGAAAGACAACTTTCGTGAGAATTTTACCATGTTTTATTTTTATTATTTCCCTTCTACGTGACTTTACCAAAAGAACAAAGAATATGAATCCCTGCAGTCACGAAAGCTTTAAATCGGAATAGAAATCAGTTTCCCACAGGTTGGGAAAGACTGGGAAAGCGTGTTCGAACACTCCCACACGCCTTGTGCTCATTCGGCTGTGGCTATACAAGGATGATAAGACCACTGTCCCAGCGTGGGTCATGCGGTTCGGTGGAGGTGAGTCATACCCCCACGTGAACAGCCTCGTCATGATCACTTATTCAGGCACATGGTGGCCGACAATAAACACGCGCTTGTTGTTATCATATCGGGACCTATTGGAACCCACTTCCCTATCGCCCCCCACCCCGCGCTCATTCCGGTTACCCAGTGGTACAGTCCATTCCCCACTGAGGCGCATCCACTTCAGGCCCTTGCAGAAGTGTGCGGGCAGAATTCTGTGCCCATCAATCCATTGCATGGAAAAGGATGGCCAAGGGAATGTGAAATAAGAAGTTACACAATTCCTAATTATAAATGACGGGAGCATGGAGTGGATCCAATCACAATACATTCAGTTCTGTTAGGCGGGCACTTGCTCTGTATTTTAAACTTAAAACAGAAATTTGCTCGATAAACAGTAAGAACAGCCTATAGCCATAAACAATTAAATTCACGGTGACAAAACAGGCTTTGTGCGCTATGCTAACACATTAAATAACTCGGCACAGACTTATGAATTGGGCCCACGGGGCTTGAAGGAAGAGATAAAAACAGGACATTTTTATTTAAAATTTCTGGAGCTACACAGAGGTGACACGTGAATTCTACAGCCTTAACGAAATATGAAGAAATACCCCACAATCCAGCAGTGGCTTGACATTTTTTTCATTCCAGTGCACAGAACAATGCCTATCATGATAACGCTGAATTGAGCAATCCGTAAATGTATCAGTGAACACTGTACGTGTAGTTTATTTCTTACCAATGTCTAAACAACCGACTAATTTTTTAACCTTTCCTATGATATAATAAGTGATTTTTTTTCCTTATGGATATGTGGACTTTCCACTGCTGGCTGAGAGCGTCCAGTGGAAGACGAGTGATGTCCGACTCTTGTTTGAGCAGGGAAGACTGGATTCCGCGACTCGTGTATGAATTTTGCCCGTGACAAAATCGCTCGGAATGAGCTCAAGCTCATCAGATTTCTTTGCGGAAATCCGGGTCCAGGCTGGATAATTCTTGAACGAGCGACTGCCATGTGCACCAGGCATCGCGCAGGCAGTTGTTGGGGCAGCACTACACGGTGGTCCATCAGGGAAAGTGCAAGGACATCCATTGACGAACTGTACCGCAACAAGCTCGCACGTCCACGCTAGACCCACTTTCACCGACTCGTTGCTTACGAGCGTGGTGAACTACGGTCAAGTTATCCCACAAGCCTGCATAGGCGCTGCGCAGACCTTCATCCAGCAGTGGAATCGACGAAAGGGCAACTGTATGTGTAGGAATCAGCGATTCTCTCTCGCGTTCGTTTGCGGAACGGGCGAGCACTGTATTTGTGAGTGGCGCGTGTCTCTGTAACCAGAGACCCCGTTGACGCAATGACGTGGCCGGACAACTGGGCATGGCGCAACCCAACCGCTCCAACCACCGCTGTTCGCCAGTTACCTCATGACCACCCGTCAACCCACGCTGGTATCGCCATTAAAAAAAAAATTGACTTCAGTGACACGCAGGGAAACACGGCGAGGCAAACGCAGATTCGCCGTGCACAATTCCTCATTTTGCTTATAATGGCGTTTGGACGGCCATGTCAAACTGGGCTCGTGTCGGAAATCGGAGATCTTCTTTCAACCGGATGATCACCCGAGGTCACGTGCTACGCGTGGGTTTTGACCGGCGCTCCGGGCTCACGTACGTGGCTCTCGGCGTCAGGGTTGAGCTGCGAGGGAACGCAGCAACTCCACGAGCAGCAGGGCCTCGTAATTGCTCAAGTGAACCCTTCAGGTCGCTCGTGGTCACGTAGGTTTAGTGCTGTATGGGAAAGCGTGTTGCGGTTATTATCTCACACGCTGTCCTTGCTCACTACACCACCTTGTTGTTTAAGCAGCTGGGAAACTAAAGTCGCATGCTGTTCGTCGCACCCACGCCCACGCTATGCGCCACAGATTCCTGCCTATAAATCCCCAGCATTGGTTACCTGTGGCTTTTTCACTCGCACCACAACTCACATTTGCAATGCGCCCGATGTAACAAACATCTCAAGAGCGCAGAACTGCAAATGAGGAATGGTTAGGGACTGAGCAAGGGACACTTTAGGGTGGCCCTCCCAGAGGCACAACTCAAAAGGAGAGAGGGGGGGGCAGAGTTGTCTGGGGATGGGGTTCCACAGTGGAGGTACAGTCGTGAATCCTATAAAACTGAACTATTTTTTTTATTTTACCAGGTAAGGTCCACCGAGCTGGATAACTTTTTGCCGGAAGCGACCTGGCCACAAATGATGGTTCAACTAAGTGGCTCATTATGTGGAAATTCATATCAGCCAAATACTCCAACGGCAATGTTTCTAAATGTGGAGCGAAAAACCGGAGGA